AGGGGTGTGTGTGTGTGTGTGTGCGTGCGTGCGTGCGTGCGTGCGTGCGTGCGTGCGTGTCGCAATTTATTTGTATTCCCGAAGTCTAAACATCACATTGATGCTTATGGAAACAAACACAGCTAACGTTGAGACACAGTATGACATCTTAGGGTACGTAGCTGGTCGCGTGACTACATTATTTCTCCCAGTACGTACTGGTTTTACTTTTAGTTGATGTCATTGCCGTAGATCGATGCTCATGTTAATCACTGTATCGTCATGTCCAGATGCCTTCATATAGCTTGAATATTGCAGAGCGCGGCGTTAAACAACAAACAAACAACATAAAAGAAAAACAAACCCAAGAACAAAATCGCAACAACAAACGCAATAATATAGTTATAAAGAAACAAATGAGTAGAATTCCAAGCTGCATATTGTGTAATTTTATTAATATGTCTTAACTGAACATCTCACATACATTCCCGAGAACGTATTGATATTGTTATGTGGGAGTAGAAATTGTTGTAAGATTATTTGTAGTGATTGGCAGTGGGAGTAAACGACTGCAACGCTCGTAAAATGCTTATTGCTTTGGTGGCGAGATTGTAACAGGAAGTGAGATGTAGAGTTCTGACAAACAGAACAGATTTGATCCTTTGAGAAGTTTTGTGGTGTCACATTTTCTAGAAGGATGGTTCTGGTGTGTAAGAATGACACGAGGCTCTCAGATAATAGATAAACCGTGAAGATCCGGGTTAGAATAGGTCTTCCGCAATCCATGCTTGCCGTAAGATGCGACTTACGGGATCGGGTGGTCTGGCTCGCTGACTATGTTGATGCATGTCATCGTATCCAAATTGTGTGGATCTATGCTCATGATGTCAATCAATGCATTGTCTGGTAGACTCGATTATTTACAGACCGCCGTCATATAGCTGGAATATTGCTGAGTGCGGCGTTTAACAACAAACAAACAAACAAGCAAACAAACAACAATGTCACTGGTCTAGATAAACAGGAAGAAAAAGGTAATTTTAAGATCTATTTGTGGGGAAAATTGTCTTTTACCCCATTTGATTTCAAACTGATTAAATTTTACATTTTTCAATGTGAAATAAAATGAAAAATCACCCAAAATGCAGTTGATGTAGAAATGGTTACATGATATGAATACATCTTTATACGATAGATTATACCGATAATAATAGGAATTCAGGCATGTATACGTGAAACACTACACTTGCACATTTCTTTATTTTTTAAACATCAAATAACAAAGTACAAGGTGGATCACGTTTGAAGTGAAAAGAAAAACATCGAGTAATATTACTGGTTGTTTGTGAACAAAACAATTTTTTACGATTATCTTTTTAGAATGTGCAAATGAAAAGCTAGTGTGAAATTCAAAACGAGTTTATCCGATCACTGTCAAAGCAAACTCAAACTACAAAAGTGAAGTGTAACTTCCTACCCTGATCACATTCCAGATGTATTTGTCACAGCCGGCAACCATCCCCATACTACTTACTTACAAACTAACGATATTACAAATACCAAAATGGAGTTCCAAACTGTCATCTTTTACATTCATGGACGCATGAAGTGAATTCTTATTAATAGCGATTGTGTTACAATATGTTATTTGGTGATGTTAGAACACGATATGAGAATGAAGAATACGTATTGTTGTGTGAACGATAAATATATTATTCTGATTCCAAAATACAAATTATTAGTTTACATTGTCGTGGCTATGAGGGCTGGTAAAAAAGTTCAAAGCCTAAAAAACAAAACCAGTAATTGTGAAAGTGTATTAATCTTATTTTTAAACATAATCCCGCCGCTTTTCAATACACTTCTCATATCGATAGTGATGTTTTTCAATTCCAGTCGGGTAGACGTTTTCTGAGACCACATAAAAAGCATTCACGGCAGCTTTAAGGTCATCGTTGTCGTCATAGCGCTTTCCACGAAGGTGTTTTGTTAGTTTAGGAAACACTTGGTGCCAGGTCCGGCGAGTATGGAGGGTGAGGAAGCTCTTCGAACCCACATTGTCGCACATCAGCCTTTGCAAGTACAGGGGTGTGAGAAGAGGCATTGTCATGAAGTGGTATAACTCCTGCAGCCAGCATTTCTTGACGGTTTTCTTTGATAGAATCTCAGGCGATAAAGCAAATCAGCATAGAGGACACCGGTAATCGTCTTTTGACAAGCGTCACACCTTTTGCATCCCATATTTCATCACCTGTTACTTATCTCTTTTTTAATTTGGAGACATTCTCATTTATCTCAAATTTGTCTCTGGCAATGTCAGTTCTTTTTTCCTTAAGATCAGAATTTAGAAACTTTGCACCCAACGAGCAGATAACTTATTCCCCTGTAAATGTTCATAAATAATAGTTTCAATGAATCCACGGCATAGACCTGTGTCTTCCTCATGTTCAGCATCGGTGAAACGTCTGACAGGATATATTTTCTAAACAATGACCCAGTGAGGTTGACATATCTCCAAAATGGCGCTCAAAATAAAGTAAGTTGTTTCTGGAGTGACAGGATGCACAGATGCACAACAGGATTCCCGCTTGGTTCGTCAGGTCTGAATTGCTTAGAGCAACATGTGTCGCAGGCTCTCCTCCCACATTAACCAATTATATTTTTTATACCAGCCGACCTGTAGTAGAGCAGAAAACCAAAAAAAATGATTGTTTCCACACCTACCAACAGGTATTTATTTTCGAGTAAAAAATCCAGTAAAGGAATAATAAAGTGTGGCCTTACAGCAGAAGTGACAGTAGATGTGTATATCAGCCAATGACCATGTCAAGAAACATGTTAACAACTCTAGTGGATTTATAAAATGAACGGGGGCACGGGTGACCCAGTCGTCTAGGGCGCCGCGATTCGCTGTGAAGAGTTGCGTCCCTTGGGCACGCCAGAAACCTATGATTGTGGGTTCCAATCCCGGTTCGCCCCGGTTATGTTTCTAGGTTTGTCAGCACCATACCCGTGCTCGTGGGTTTCACCGAAGTGATGAACGTCTGAGACCTGCATCACTTAGGGCCTTCCTCCCACATTAAGCTGACACGCCGCGATATAACTGGAATACTGTTTAACGCAGCGTTAAACCCAACTCACTCACTCACTCACTATAAAATGAGCTCTGATGACAAATTTGAAATGCAACATATATCCCAAGCAATGTGAAGCAATGTATACTGGATGCCATATCGATTGAGCAACCAATATAACCGACCCGCCTGGTACATTGAAATCCCAACCTTCTGATATGCCCAAGTTCTTGAGTGAGTGAGTAATATTTTGTCATTCTCTCAACATTAGATTAAATATTGTATCAACTCTGATTTGCTGATTCAGCTCAATACACGTTGGGTTCTTTAGCCGTTCTTAACAGTAATATCAGACGCTTGCACTTATGCACTCACAGACGCGCGAGCAATACTAGATGTCCTTATAATTGAGTGAGTGAGTGAGTTGGGTTTAACGCCGCTTTTAACACTATTCCACTTATATCACGGCTTGTCAACTTAATATGGGAGAAAAGCCCGAAGTGATGCAGGTCTCGGACGTTTACCATTTCGGTGAAACCCACGAGCACGGGTATGGTGCTAACAAACCTAGAAACTTAATCGGGGCGAACCGGATTTCGAACCCACGATCATGGGTTGCTGGCATGCCCAAGGGACGCAACTCTGCACAGCGAATTGCGGCGCCTTAGACGACTGGGCCACCCGTGCCGCCGCCCGCCCGACCGGTCGTAGCAGTACAGTTATGTTATGCTGCCTCAAAAAGTCTATTACAACACGTGCAACCATGTAGGTAGGCATTATCCTGCTGTGAGGTGACGTTAAAGGGTAGGACATGATCACAAACGATGTTGTCCAAGTAGCGGACACCATTCAAATCGCCATTAACAATGATGACTTGTGTTCTCCCATGAGTAGTGATGCCACCCTATACCATTACACTTCCACCCCAAAACTGACGACCTTCAGTGACGCAAGCATCGCTAAAACGTTCTCCAGGAGACCTGTAGACCCTGCACAACCATCAGAGTTGTCCAGATGAAGCCTAGACTACTGACATAGTCTTGTCTTCTGAACCTCAAAAGCTGTCTACATAAAACTAGACGTGCCTGACGTGGAATGAGTGAGTGAGTGAGCTGGGTTTAATGCCGCTATTAACAGTATTCAAGTTATATAGCGGCATGTCAGCTCAATGTGGGAGGAAAGCCCGAAGTGATGCAGGTCTTACCACTTCGGTGAAACCCACAAGCATGTGTATGGTGCTGACAAACCCAGAAACATAATCAGGGCGGACCGGGATTCGAACCCACAATCATAGGTTTCTGGAATGCCCAATGGCCACCCGTTCCCCCCACAATAGGACATGACCAGGAGGGTCTTGATGCCAGTACCAATCACATCATATTTTTTTAATCAGTAAAAGAGTCACAAACCGAAATCTATAATGCGAAATCATGTTTATGTGTATGCAGACCATTCAGGTCTGTGAGGGCTACATGGGATAAGATGGTTCTGCTATTGTCTCATTCCTGTAATATGTGTTATTTCATAACGATAAAGTCAAGTTTTGATTCACGCTAAGCATTTCTTTATGAATCTTTCACATTAATCTTTCATAATAAAGATTTGACTCATTTTATGTTTGAAATATGTCATTTTAGCTGTTCTAAGCTAAACAGTATACACCATCAGGATATTGGGAGCAAAGATCCACAATGCCAGGGCACCATGCGACAACCAAGTCACCTGGCCTGACCATCCGATCCATCCCCATTTATGACCAGCATAGTTGCTGGGCACTTATTCTAACCCTGAATCCCCTTTGTGGCTGTTTGTAGCACTTCACCAAATTTGATAATCCTGGCTAGTTCGAGAGGGTACTATTTCTGGGTTGAAAATTACACTATTAGCATGTCAATAACCATAATTGGTACCGTCATACCGCACAGTAAGCACCAACAAGAATGCTTGAATAAATGTAATATGTATTTACTCTTTGAACAAACTCAAACAATTTACAAACATGAACAGTTTATCATGTCACACACAATGTCTCCACATTTACTGCTGGGACTGAAGCTGCTTGTCTGCGACTGACTTCATGACTCCATCAGGGCCAAGATTCTCCTCCAACACAGCATGCTTCTCGGTGAAGTACCGGCGGAACCACTCGATGTGGTCCTTCTTCTGCTCCACAGTCAGGTGGGGGTTCTTGGACAGGCCAGTGGTCACAAGGTCCATGAAATGCCGGACAGGGCCCCGCCTTGGGAAGCCCTCTAGATGTTGGTCCAGGAAGACGTGTTCGCTAAAGTTGACACTCTGCTCCCTAACCATCCCTGAAAAATGTACAAGTAAATAAATGTAACCTATAGCAGGAATTGACTTGGGTCTATCTATTAGCCCTATCAGTTGGATATCTGAGTGAGTGAGTGAGTGAGTGAGTGGATGGGACTGTGGGTGAGTGAGTGAGTGAGTGAGTGAGTGAGTGAGTGAGTGCGTGGATTGGACTGTGGGTGGGTGAGTGAGTGAGTGAGTGGGTGGATGGGACTGTGGGTGAGTGAGTGAGTGAGTGAGTGAGTGGATTGGACTGTGGGTGGGTGAGTGAGTGAGTGAGTGGGTGGATGGGACTGTGGGTGAGTGAGTGAGTGAGTGAGTGAGTGAGTGAGTGAGTGAAGGTTTTTACACCACTTGCCAGCAATATCACGGCGGGGGACACCAGAAAAGGGCTTCACACATTGTAGACATGTCAGGATTCGAACCCGGGTCTTCAGCGTGACAAACGAACGATTTAACCACTAGGCTACCCGACCACCCCTTCAGGGTGTCTTTATATATCAAATATATAAACATGTGTAGATAAAAGTGGAAAAAACTCTTTGAAACTGTAATAAGAATTGTCTTGAGTGTAAAAAGTACAGCTAACCAGCTTATGTTTGCAGAGAATGAGTGTGTGAGTGAGTGAGTTGGGTTTAACCCTGGTTTTAACAGTATTTCAGTTATATTACAGCGATCCAGCTAAATTTGGGAGGAAAGCCTGCAGTTATGCAGGTCTTCCACTTTTTGTTTGTTTGTTGTTTTAACACTGCACTCAGCAATAGTCCAACTATATGATGGTGGTCTGTAAATAATTGAGTCTGGACAAGAAAATCCAGTGGTTGACATCATGAGCATCTATACATGCAATTGGGATCGATAGCATGCATCAACCAAGTCAGCGAGCCTGGCCACCCCATCCCATCCCGTTAGTCACCTTTTACCACAGGCATAGTCGCCTTTTATGGCAAGCATGGGTTGCTATTCTACCCCTGATCTTCACGGGTCGTCTGCTATGGTAATCATTATTATGAAGCCATTTGAAATAAGAACAGGGATCTGTTTTTATGAGATGTTTTCATCACAAGGGGAACAACTCATGTTCGATTTGGGGCGACATGGCGATTGAGCCAAGAAAAGTAGGCTTAAAATGGTAAGGGCAAAAACTAGGCGTTGATATAAGTGAGTGAGTGAGTGAGTGAGTGAGTGAGTGAGTGAGTGAGTGAGTGAGTGAGTGAGTGAGTGAGTGAGTGAGTGAGTGAGTGAGTGAGTGAGTGAGTGAGTGAGTGTGAGTGAGTGAGTGAGAGTGCGTGCGTGCGTGCGTGAGTGAGTGAGTGAGTTGGGTTTAACGCCGCTTTTAACACTATTACAGTTATATCGCGGCGTGTCAGCTTAATGTGGGAGGAAAACCCGAAGTGATGCAGGTCTCAGACGTTTACCACTTCGGTGAAACCCACGAGCACGGGTATGGTGCTGACAAACCCAGAAACATGATCAGGGCGAACCGGGATTAGAACCAACAATCATAGGTTTCTGGCATGCCAAAGGGAAGCAACACTGCACAGCGAATCGCGGCGCCTTAGACGACTGGGCCACCCAAGCCCCCAATATAGGCAAGTGGACTCTTTTGTATCGGGAAGATGAGTAACATTTTTGTATAGTAACCTCTGCTAATAATAGTCCATATATTAACATAGGTTTCTGGCATGCCCAAGGGATGCAACTCTGCACAGTGAATCACGGCGCATTAGACGACTGGGCCACCCGTGCCCCCTAGTCAGTAGGGGGACAAAGAAGGGATATATAGAGAATCTCATCCGAGTGTCTTTTGATATCAAATATATCAACACGAGTTGATAAAATTGGCAAAACTCTGAGGCTTGCCAAGGAGTTTTTCCACTTTTATCGACAAGCTTTTTTTATTTTATTTATCATCCAACATAATTCTTCCAACTTTTTCAGTTTGTAGACATTTATAAGCAGTTTCCTAAGTGTAAAAAGTACTGCTAACAGCTTCAGAAGCCGAGCCATTAGTGATGTCATTTGTTTGTGATGTGATGGTAACCAATGATGACACAATGGTCAGCAAAGCATTGTGATGCAATTTCATTGCAGCGATATCTACAATGTAAATAACGCTTGATCTCACCAAAGCAATATCTCCTGTGGGAGCCAGTTTTGGATGATAAAACCCGTAATCGCCATTTGGTGGTGCTATGATTGAACAACAGCGGCCTAGTCTGGCAAGGGAGAAAACTGGATTTTTTACAGTCAGTTAGCTCCCTTGCCTCAGGAAAATAGGAATAAGTGAGTGAGTTGGATTTAATGTCTTTTTAAACAGATTTTCTGTTATATCCTGGCGTGGGAGCATGAATGTTTAATTCTTTGGAGAAACCACAAGCACAGGGGGGGGGGGGGGGGATGAAAAACCAAGAATCATTATCGGGGTAAACTGGCATTTGTAATACAGGGTCATTGGCTTCAGGCACACCTTAGTACGCAACTCCCAGAAACGGGTAACTCAGCTGGGCCATCTGCGTCCCTAGAATCCTGACAGAATATTGTCTTCAAGAGGTACTAACCAGCCTCATTGTCTATAGGAAATGTCCACAGTTTGCCCTCTCTGGTCCATTCAATCATCTCCTCAAATGCATTGGTGGGAGTCTGTTTGAGGGCAGCCATTGTCTCCTCCTGTACTTCATCCCACAGGGATCTCCGCGCAGTCGTCTCCAGGGCAGCTGTGCAGGAACAACACAACAACTGTTAGGTGAGTGAATGTGTCTTACAACATCGCCAAGATTTAATCTCAGAGTACAGGAAAAAACGTTTCAGGGATGAGGAGTTCTAAACTGTTCAGAGCCCCACAAGGTGGATGGATACATGACCTCAGGTTCGGCCACTTGGCAGTTCAACTGTTGGACAGTTAGTTTGCAGAAGGGTGAGGAACTTCAAAAGAAGCAAGCCCTGATGACAACATAAAATTTTGTTGTTAAGGCTAAAAAAAATAAAAGAATTGGTTCTCAGGCAATGACTTTTGAAAATATAGTCCGGGCGGGCGGGCGGTGTTTTTTTGTTGTTGCCTTGTTCAACCCAGTATGTAACTAGACAAACAGTCGTGTACCATCAACCTGGGAAAGGGCCTCCCTACATAAACAAGCATACACACTCTTATTGCCGCCATGACCATAACATGAGATGTGCAGTAAGGCAGTGTCATGTAAAGGGAAGTAACTGTGTGCAATATTGGATCACATTGTTTTTAAGTACATTTATAAGGATTTTCTTCTTTTTTTTAAAAATGGAAATAAAAACAAAATGTGCGTCAGACTTTATGATGATGCGGGCGGAGCCTGAGAACCAAGACTATTATCATTTTTAGCCTAAATCCCCCCTTGCAGGAAGGGAGGGGGGTAGCCATGTAAAATACTGATTGTGTGACAACACCCAGACATACTGGTTCAGATCTACTCTGTGATGAACTGTACCTGATTTATCTTTGGCTAAACTGTCAAACAGACCAAGTCCTTCTCCAGAAAACAGCTTGAAGTTTCGAATCTGTCTGTAACGAGGAATCAGTCACATGTGACCTGGGATGCACACACAAGATAATCTCAACTCAGACTAAACAGGAATTGCAGTCACAAAACACTAATCTTATCTATGTCATCAATGGTTACGTACAATAATTTGGAAATCTACACAAAATAAACAAGATAGAAGACAGGGTTAGAAATTCTCTGTATTTCAGTGTTGTTAAAATCATGATGGCATGTAACACAAGTTCTGCTGCATCCGAGGGGCATACTTAGAGATCATCGTGATCACACTCTCAACAACACCCTTAGAGATCATCCTGATCACACTCTCAACAACACCCTTAGAGATCATCCTGATCACACTCTCAACAACACCCTTAGAGATCATCCTGATCACACTCTCAACAACACCCTTAGAGATCATCCTGATCACACTCTCAACAACACCCTTAGAGATCATCCTGATCACACTCTCAACAACACCCTTAGAGATCATCCTGGTCACACTCTCAACAACACCCTTAATACCTTGTGCAATCCACAAGAAAATGTGTCATGACGCCTGTAGTGCTATGGTTAACGGGGAGAAGGGTTCACAAAACAACCTTAGCTACCACTGTCGTAAGTTCAAGTGTGGCAGTACACCTGGTATTGACGCCTGAAGTACTTTGGCTATTTTGTCAAACACAACACATGTTCACAAATTCTCCTTACTTCTTTTTAGCCGAGGAAACCTGGGCACTGGGAACTCTCTGTCCAGGCCTGTCTGGAAGGATAGAGTCCCGCCATGCAGCCAAATCTGGACTCCTTGCTTCACCTCGACCCCTTGCTTCACCTTGACCCCTTGCTTCACCTCGACCCCTTGCTTCACCTCGACCCCTTGCCTCATCTCTCGGAGCGGGGCTTCTGTGTGCAACTTTACCTCGCAGCAAAGACTCCTGCCTGGGCCCTGTATCCCTGCTCCTCGGCTTGTCCCGATGCAGGGCATCTCTACCGGGCATGGAGTCCTTTCTTCTGGCTTGGGATAAAGATTTCTTCCTCTCCATCAGCTCCCTAATTACTGAGCCTTCTTCATAGGGGGAATCGTCTTTGGGGGCAGCATCTTTACCTCTGCTTTCTTCTTCACGGAAATAATAATCCAGAGGTTTGGATCCCGTGTGTCGAGTGTTCGAGCCTTGAAAAAAAACATCGTATTAAATTAAGGAAGGTGTAATTGGGTTAAACGTCATGTTCAAGATTACTGCACTTTTGTAGTGATGTGCTACACATGTGTGTGTGGCTTCTTGTACTAGTCCCGACTAATGCTGGTTTTATGTGCTAGTGCACGAGATATACCATGCCGCAGTTTAACATCGATACCCCACTCAGACACTGATTCCGAGCCGACCAGTCCTTGTTTTATCCTCTTAATGCTTAGCGCCAGACTGGGTAACAATAAATTCTATCTTATTTATTATTAATTATTATTATTATTATTATTATTATTATTATTATTATGCGTTGCCAAATGTGATTATGGACACACTATTTCTGCTTTGCCTCTCACAACAAGATGAAGTGAGTGAGTGAGTTTGGTTTAAGTATTTCCCTTATGTAAAGCAGCGTGTCAGCTTCACGTGGGATGAAAGTGTGAAGTGATGCAGGACCAGGCCACTCGTACCCCTTGGTGAACCACACGAGCTGAGGCATCTGCTGACAAACCTAGAACTATTTTCAGTGTCAGATGGGATGTGCTACAGTAGAAGACCTGGAAGCTAGTTATCAGCTACACTCACCACTTTTTGACGCTGCCTCTGGTCTCCGACCACCATGGGACTTTTGTCTAGAAAACAAAAAGAAAAAAAACTGAAAGTCTTTCCAAGCTCAACTGGGAAGCTGCCTTGTGGCCTCCACACTCATGTTAATATATGTTACAGGTATCATTTTCAGTGTTTATGAGTATGACAAATCCATTAATAAGATTTGAGTAATTTCCGAAAACATATATTGGTTCTGAGTATTTTTTTAATGTTGTTACACCCCACTCAGCATTATTCCAGCTATATGGAATGCTGGCATTTACATCGCCTGTCACTGGTCAGTCTTTATGACCAGTTCACATGAAAGCCACCAAAAACACAAATTGTCACAAGTCAAATCAGAAAGTGTTCTTTTCCATCTTTCACCTAGCCAATAACTACCGGTAATATATGTGAGTAAGACTCGTGAAGATTCCGGGGTAGAATAGGTCTTCAGCAACCCATACTTGCCGTAAAAGGCGACTATGCTTGTCGTAAAAGGCGACTAACGGGATCGGGTGGTCAGGCTCGCTGACTTGGTTGATACATGTCATCGATCCCAATGGCGTAGATCGATGCTCATGATGTCAATCACTGGATTGTCTGGTCCAGACTCGATTATTTTACAGACCACCATCATATAGCTGGAATATTGCTGAGTGTGGCGTTAAACAACAACCAACCAACCAACCAACCAACCAACATGTGAGTAACATAATATCTTGTTCACATTCCTCAGAGCTACTAAAGGTTTCCATCCCAAAGGGCAATAAAAGCTGTGATGATATCACTGTATATCAGGTATATTAGTTTGTTTGTTTGTTTGTTTGTTTGTTGTTTAACGCCAGACTCAGAAATATTCCAATATATGATGACAGTCTGTAAATAATCAAGTCTCGACCAGACAATCCAGTGATTGACATCATGCGCATCTTGGGATACGCTGACATGCACCAACCAAGTCAGCCAGCCTGACCACCCGATCCCGTTAGTCGCCTTTTATGACAAGCATAGTTGCCTTTTATGACAAGCATAGTTGCCTTTTATGACAAGCATGGGTTGCTGAAGACCACATCTACCCTGGATCACTGTACATAAGTAATGGGATGATAACCAATGCACTATAATTTGTGATGTTTTCCCCTCTCGTTACAACTATCAATCACAGTCGCACACTATTTAAACATATTGATTCCTGTTTTATATCTTTGCTTAAACTGTTACAACAAACCCTTATTAGCAGTGAAAATGTAAATATTTTCATTCATTGCACCATGTTTGACAAACTGTAAATCGTCAATGTGCCAGTTATTTGGCCATCCTAACTAATCATTCTAGACTTGAGTTGGACTCTTTTTATAATATATTCTCTCGTGTTTCAGAGACAGACTATCAACAAGATTACCTTGGCTGAGGAGGAGCTCCTGTTGGAGTTACCTCCCTTCCTTCCCTGCGCGCCTGAGACAGTTTGGCTTGGTTGTGGAGCTGTTGGAGAAGGTCAGATTCGGTCTGTTTGGCATCGCCAGGTAGAGAATTGGCTACATTTTTTGCTGCTTCCTTCAAAACACCATCCAATCCATCTGTCTCCCTGTAACCATGGCAATAGTAAAGAAACAGGCATTTCCACATGTACATGTGTTGTTTTTAAATTATCATTTGTCATACAATCAAAATCAAATGAATGACAATAAAACATATCTTTCAAAGAGCATATGAGTGAGTGAGTTACCATGCTTCAGCGTTAGAAAATGGCACTAGTCCTATAGTCCTTGCCAAACTGCCCAGTAGTTAAGGTGACATAAGGACTAGTAGAAACTTGCCCTTTTTAGGGTTTAGCTTTTTGTTATCATTATAAGGACTAGAGGACTAAAAGGCACCGCTGCATCATCTTCATCATCATTCATTTTAATTTCCATAAAAAAAAAAAAGATGACATTCTTAATATTCCGCATCTCGAACACACGACCCCGGCAGTGAAATGTTTCACAACTTAAAAACAGTGTGATCCAATATAGTGTGCAGTTACTTCCCTTTACATGCGCTCTGCTTTACTGCACATCTCGTCATGGCAGCAAGAGGAGTTTGTGTGGTTGTTTTGCCATTTGAAAATGTGATCAGTGAAATAATGAAATTTACGATAAAACATCACTAGACATAATGATAAATTCAATGGGTTTTTTGTACTGTATGCCGAACAATGTTTCAAAGGCAGAGATTAAGATTACATAGTTATTCGTTTCATAACATAAGAAATAGCAGCCAGCTGTTCACACATTTTCTCCCCAATCTAAGGATGATATAGTTTTAAAAATACTTGTCATGGCCAATATCATAATTAAAAGAAATTCCAATACAGTGATAGGAAGTCGGAAGACTTTGTATCTCTTACAACTAATGTTTGTTTCAAGGCAAATTCATTGTGAGTTGATGTGATTTGACAATCAGTTCATACACGATTTCGCCGAAATTAATGTAAACAAAATGGAATAAAATCTTGGATAAAAGTAAAATAATGGAGTGCAAACATAAGTCCAGATACACAGATGAACACTTTTATAGGCAGAGAGTGTAGTTATAGGACTAACTTCCGCACAGACTTGTTGACATGCTACTCCCGGTGTTGTGTGCTCACGATAATGTCTTCGCATTGTGAAATACAAACTGTATGCAGGTGTATTAAGCACACACTGGTAGTCAAACGGGAGTCCAATACTCTATTCCAGTATCTTAGGCCTCAACATGATCAAGGAATAGAGTTATGTAGGGAGGCCCTTTCCAAGGATGATTATGCACAACTGTGTATTTGGTTACATACAAGTTTGAACACTGTGTCACTGTGTGTGTTGTGTGTCACTGTGAGTGTTGTGTCACTGTGTGTGTTGTCACTGTGTTGTGTCACTGTGAGTGTTGTGTCACTGTGTGTGTGTTGTCACTGTGTGTGTGTTGTGTCACTGTGAGTGTTGTCACTGTGTGTGTGTGTGTTGTCACTGTGTGTGTGTGTGTTGTCACTGTGTTGTGTCACTGTGAGTGTTGTGTCACTGTGAGTGTTGTGTCACTGTGAGTGTTGTGTCACTGTGAGTGTTGTGTCACTGTGTTGTGTCACTGTGCGTGTGTTGTCACTGCGTGTGTGTTGTCACTTAGTTGTGTCACTGTGAGTGTTGTGTCACTGTGTGTGTGTGTGTTGTCACTGTGTGTGTGTGTGTTGTCACTGTGCGTGTGTTGTCACTGTGTGTGTGTTGTCACTGTGTTGTGTCACTGTGAGTGTTGTCACTGTGTGTGTGTGTGTGTTGTCACTGTGTGTGTGTGTGTTGTGACTGTGTTGTGTCACTGTGAGTGTTGTGTCACTGTGAGTGTTGTGTCACTGTGAGTGTTGTGTCACTGTGAGTGTTGTGTCACTGTCATTGTGTTGTGTCACTGTGCGTGTGTTGTCACTGTGCGTGTGTTGTCACTGTGTTGTGTCACTGTGAGTGTTGTGTCACTGTGTTGTGTCACTGTGTGTGTGTTGTGTCACTGTGAGTGTTGTCACTGTGTGTGTGTGTGTTGTCACTGTGTGTGTGTGTGTTGTCACTGTGTTGTGTCACTGTGCGTGTTGTGTCACTGTGAGTGTTGTGTCACTGTGAGTGTTGTGTCACTGTGCGTGTTGTGTCACTGTGAGTGTTGTGTCACTGTGTTGTGTCACTGTGAGATTTGTGTCACTGTGTGTGTTGTCACTGTGTTGTGTAACTGTGACTGTTGTGTCACTGTGTTGTGTCACTGTGTGTTGTGTCACTGTGTGTGTGTGTGTGTGTTGTCACTGTGTTGTGTCACTGTGAGTGTTGTGTCACTGTGAGTGTTGTGTCACTGTATGTGTGTTGTCACTGTGCGTGTTGTGTCACTGTGAGTGTTGTGTCACTGTGAGTGTTGTGTCAAAGTGTGCGTGTTGTGTCACTGTGCGTGTTGTGTCACTGTGCGTGTTGTGTCACTGTGAGATTTGTGTCACTGTGTGTGTTGTCACTGTGTTGTGTCACTGTGTGTGTGTTTTGTCACTGTGTGTTGTGTCACTGTGTTGTGTCACTGTGAGATTTGTGTCACTGTGTGTGTTGTCACTGTGTTGTGTCACTGTGTGTGTGTTTTGTCACTGTGTGTTGTGTCACTGTGATTGTTGTCACTGTGATTGTTGTGTCACTGTGTTGTGTCACTGTGTGTGTATGTTGTGTCTGTGTGTTGTGTCACTTTGTGTCGTATCACTGTGTGTAATGTCACAGTGAGTGTTGTGTTACTGTGTGTGTTGTGTTACTGTGTGTGTTATGACACCTGTCAAGTAAAACAGGAATGTCACTGTGTGTTGTGTCACTGTGAGTGTTGTGTCACTGTGAGTGCTGTGTCACTGTGTGTGTTGTGTCACTGTGTGTGTTGTTTCACTGTGTGTTTTGTCACTGTGTGTGTTGTCACTGTGTGTTGTGTCACTGTGTGTTGTGTCACTGTGTGTGTTGTCACTGTGTGTTGTGTCACTGTGTGTGTTGTCACTGTGTGTTGTGTCACTGTGTTTTGTCACTGTGTGTTGTGTCACTGTGTGTTGTGTCACTGTGTGTGTTGTCACTGTGCGTTTTGTCACTGTGTGTTAAGTCACTGTGAGTGTTGTGTCACTGTGTGTTAAGTCACTGAGTGTGCTGTGTCACTGTGAGTGTTGTGTCACTGTGTGTTAAGTCACTGAGTGTGCTGTGTCACTGTGAGTGTTGTCACTGTGTGTTGTGTCACTGTGTGTTGTGTCACTGTGTTTTAAGTCACTGTGAGTGTTGTGTCACTGTGAGTGTTGTGTCACTGTGAGTGTTGTGTCACTGTCACTGTGTTGTGTCACTGTGCGTGTGTTGTCACTGTGCGTGTGTTGTCACTGTGTTGTGTCACTGTGAGTGTTGTGTCACTGTGTTGTGTCACTGTGTGTGTGTTGTGTCACTGTGAGTGTTGTCACTGTGTGTGTGTGTTGTCACTGTGTGTGTGTGTGTTGTCACTGTGTTGTGTCACTGTGCGTGTTGTGTCACTGTGAGTGTTGTGTCACTGTGAGTGTTGTGTCACTGTGCGTGTTGTGTCACTGTGAGTGTTGTGTCACTGTGTTGTGTAACTGTGACTGTTGTGTCACTGTGTTGTGTCACTGTGTGTTGTGTCACTGTGTGTGTGTGTGTGTGTTGTCACTGTGTTGTGTCACTGTGAGTGTTGTGTCACTGTGAGTGTTGTGTCACTGTATGTGTGTTGTCACTGTGCGTGTTGTGTCACTGTGAGTGTTGTGTCACTGTGAGTGTTGTGTCAAAGTGTGCGTGTTGTGTCACTGTGCGTGTTGTGTCACTGTGCGTGTTGTGTCACTGTGAGATTTGTGTCACTGTGTGTGTTGTCACTGTGTTGTGTCACTGTGTGTGTGTTTTGTCACTGTGTGTTGTGTCACTGTGTTGTGTCACTGTGAGATTTGTGTCACTGTGTGTGTTGTCACTGTGTTGTGTCACTGTGTGTGTGTTTTGTCACTGTGTGTTGTGTCACTGTGATTGTTGTGTCACTGTGATTGTTGTGTCACTGTGTGTTGTGTCACTGTGTGTGTATGTTGTGTCTGTGTGTTGTGTCACTTTGTGTCGTATCACTGTGTGTAATGTCACAGTGAGTGTTGTGTTACTGTGTGTGTTGTGTTACTGTGTGTGTTATGACACCTGTCAAGTAAAACAGGAATGTCACTGTGTGTTGTGTCACTGTGAGTGTTGTGTCACTGTGAGTGCTGTGTCACTGTGTGTGTTGTGTCACTGTGTGTGTTGTTTCACTGTGTGTTTTGTCACTGTGTGTGTTGTCACTGTGTGTTGTGTCACTGTGTGTTGTGTCACTGTGTGTGTTGTCACTGTGTGTTGTGTCACTGTGTGTGTTGTCACTGTGTGTTGTGTCACTGTGTTTTGTCACTGTGTGTTGTGTCACTGTGTGTTGTGTCACTGTGTGTGTTGTCACTGTGTGTTGTGTAACTGTGCGTTTTGTCACTGTGTGTTAAGTCACTGTGAGTGTTGTGTCACTGTGTGTTAAGTCACTGAGTGTGCTGTGTCACTGTGAGTGTTGTCACTGTGTGTTGTGTCACTGTGTGTTGTGTCACTGTGTTTTAAGTCACTGTGAGTGTTGTGTCACTGTGAGTGTTGTGTCACTGTGAGTGTTGTGTCACTGTCACTGTGTTGTGTCACTGTGCGTGTGTTGTCACTGTGCGTGTGTTGTCACTGTGTTGTGTCACTGTGAGTGTTGTGTCACTGTGTTGTGTCACTGTGTGTGTGTTGTGTCACTGTGAGTGTTGTCACTGTGTGTGTGTGTTGTCACTGTGTGTGTGTGTGTTGTCACTGTGTTGTGTCACTGTGCGTGTTGTGTCACTGTGAGTGTTGTGTCACTGTGAGTGTTGTGTCACTGTGCGTGTTGTGTCACTGTGAGTGTTGTGTCACTGTGTTGTGTAACTGTGACTGTTGTGTCACTGTGTTGTGTCACTGTGTGTTGTGTCACTGTGTGTGTGTGTGTGTGTTGTCACTGTGTTGTGTCACTGTGAGTGTTGTGTCACTGTGAGTGTTGTGTCACTGTATGTGTGTTGTCACTGTGCGTGTTGTGTCACTGTGAGTGTTGTGTCACTGTGAGTGTTGTGTCAAAGTGTGCGTGTTGTGTCACTGTGCGTGTTGTGTCACTGTGCGTGTTGTGTCACTGTGAGATTTGTGTCACTGTGTGTGTTGTCACTGTGTTGTGTCACTGTGTGTGTGTTTTGTCACTGTGTGTTGTGTCACTGTGTTGTGTCACTGTGAGATTTGTGTCACTGTGTGTGTTGTCACTGTGTTGTGTCACTGTGTGTGTGTTTTGTCACTGTGTGTTGTGTCACTGTGATTGTTGTGTCACTGTGATTGTTGTGTCACTGTGTGTTGTGTCACTGTGTGTGTATGTTGTGTCTGTGTGTTGTGTCACTTTGTGTCGTATCACTGTGTGTAATGTCACAGTGAGTGTTGTGTTACTGTGTGTGTTGTGTTACTGTGTGTGTTATGACACCTGTCAAGTAAAACAGGAATGTCACTGTGTGTTGTGTCACTGTGAGTGTTGTGTCACTGTGAGTGCTGTGTCACTGTGTGTGTTGTGTCACTGTGTGTGTTGTTTCACTGTGTGTTTTGTCACTGTGTGTGTTGTCACTGTGTGTTGTGTCACTGTGTGTTGTGTCACTGTGTGTGTTGTCACTGTGTGTTGTGTCACTGTGTGTGTTGTCACTGTGTGTTGTGTCACTGTGTTTTGTCACTGTGTGTTGTGTCACTGTGTGTTGTGTCACTGTGTGTGTTGTCACTGTGTTGTGTAACTGTGTGTTTTGTCACTGTGTGTTAAGTCACTGTGAGTGTTGTGTCACTGTGTGTTAAGTCACTGAGTGTGCTGTGTCACTGTGAGTGTTGTGTCACTGTGTGTTAAGTCACTGAGTGTGCTGTGTCACTGTGAGTGTTGTCACTGTGTGTTGTGTCACTGTGTGTTGTGTCCCTGTGTTTTAAGTCACTGTGAGTGTTGTCACTGTGAGTGTTGTCACTGTGTGTTGTGTCACTGTGTTGTGTCACTGTGTGTGCTGTGTTAAGTCACTGTGAGTGTTGTGTCACTGTGTGTGTTGTCACTGTGTGTTGTGTCACTGTGTGTTGTGTCACTGTGTGTTGTGTCACTGTGTGTTTTGTCACTGTGTGTTTTGTCACTGTGTGTTAAGTCACTGTGAGTGTTGTGTCACTGTGTGTTAAGTCACTGTGAGTGTTGTCACTGTGTGTTAAGTCACTGAGTGTTGTGTCACTGTGAGTGTTGTGTCATTGTGTGTTAAGTCACTGTGAGTGCTGTGTCACTGTGAGTGTTGTCACTGTGTGTTGTGTCACTGTGTGTTGTGTCACTGTGTGTTAAGTCACTGTGAGTGTTGTGTCACTGTGAGTGTTGTCACTGTGTGTTGTGTCACTGTGTGTGCTGTGTCACTGTGAGTGTTGTCACTGTGTGTTAAGTCACTGTGAGTGTTGTGTCACTGTGTGTTAAGTCACTGTGAGTGTTGTGTCACTGTGAGTGTTGTCACTGTGAGTGTTGTCACTGTGAGTGCTGTCACTGTGTGTTGTGTCACTGTGTGTTGTCACTGTGTGCTGTGTTAAGTCACTGTGAGTGCTGTGTCACTGTGAGTGTTGTCACTGTGTGTTGTGTCACTGTGTGTTGTGTCACTGTGTGTTAAGTCACTGTGAGTGCTGTGTCACTGTGAGTGTTGTCACTGTGAGTGTTGTCACTGTGTGTTGTGTCACTGTATGTTGTCACTGTGTGCTGTGTTAAGTCACTGTGAGTGCTGTGTCACTGTGAGTGTTGTCACTGTGTGTTGTGTCACTGTGTGTTGTGTCACTGTGTGTCAAGTCACTGAGTGTGCTGTGTCACTGTGAGTGTTGTCACTGTGTGTTGTGTCACTGTGTGTTGTGTCACTGTGTGTTAAGTCACTGTGAGTGTTGTGTCACCGTGAGTGTTGTCACTGTGTGTTGTGTCACTGTGTGTTGTCACTGTGTGTGCTGTGTTAAGTCACTGTGAGTGTTGTGTCACTGTGTGTTAAGTCACTGTGAGTGCTGTGTCACTGTGAGTGTTGTCACTGTGTGTTGTGTCACTGTGTGTTGTCACTGTGTGTTGTGTCACCGTATGTTGTCACTGTGTGTTGTGTCACCGTGTGTTAAGTCACTGTGAGTGTTGTGTCACTGTGTGTTGTGTCACTGTGAGTGTTGTGTAACTGTGTGTTGTGTCACTATGAGTGCTGTGTCACTGTGTGATGTGTCACTGTGTGCTGTGTCACTGTGTGTTGTGTCACTGTGTGTTGTGTCATTGCGAGTGTTGTGTCACTGTGAGTGTTGTGTCACTGTGTGTTGTGTCACCTGATGTCTGTGTCCTCCTCTGGAAACTTCTTCTTCCTGGTGAGTTGATGTGTGCAGGAGATGTGTCGGGCTGCCCCCAGCCGCTCACCTGCCACAACCCCTGCCGGGACATTGGTCATCCATTGTCTGAAAACACATGGCAAACTATCAGTACAACAACCAGGGACTTTGTTGACTCAGCACTCTGAAAAGGAAGGCTGGGTATCCATTTATCAGTCTCTTTAAGGCCACATATTCTTTCTTTCATGGGATTTTTTTGTATTACATTCTGGACAGTAGGTGGGGAACAAATCAAATTAAAAGGATCTCGAATGATGCAGTACGAACCAACAGAGTGTGTCTGATGAAGGCCGGGAGGCTGAAAGCTTGACTGTGTATATTTATGTATTTATTTACAAGTATTACCCTATGGGAACAAAAATAGAATTAAAAATAATTAAACAAAAATAAGGAAATGACACTGTAGCTCCCCTGGATGTGTGGTCAACAAATGGTCAACAGTTTAAAATGATATCAAAAACCTATTATTAACAAATAGATGAATAACATACAAAGAAACAAATATGATAGTTGGTCTACATGACGTACAGAACGAATTGACAACATGCACTTAAAAATGATGCATATTTAACAACTTGAGTGACAACAGTGTCTCACACCTAGACATGATTACAAATGATCTGAAGCTGCTGATGTCAACATGCTTGCTGCCATGTGGCAGTAGAGACTGTTGAAAGTTTGTTTGTAGTGATTGTCACTGGCAGTAAATGACTGAATAACTTTATATGTATATAGCTTTCTTGCTTAACGTCGCACTCAGCAATATTCCAGCTATGCAATGGCGGTCTGTAAATAATCGAGTCTGGACCAGACAATCCAGTGATTGACATCATGAGCATCAATCTACACAACTGGGACATGATGACATGCATCAACAAAGTCAGCAAGCCTGATCAACCCATCCCGTTAGTCGCCTGTTACGACACACAGTCGCCTCTCTCGACAAGCATCGGTTGCGGAAAAGCTGGGTCTTCATGGGTCTGAAACGCTTGTGAAATGTTGTGTGTTGTTGCATTGTGTAGTGGCCAGATTGTATAAGGAAGTGTGATTTAGAGTTATCTCCCTTGGTTGTTGACAAACATGATCTTATTGATCATGTTGATTGTTTGACAAATTTTGGAATGGGACAGTTGCTGGCAGGCGGGCTGTGCCTAAATATGAGCAACACGAGGACGATTCAGGGCCTTTCATGGCCTGACTTGTATTCTGTCCACTTGCCAAGTGTGGACAGGAGCCCTATGTTAAATGTCTGCCAGCTTCCACCATCCTAGATTCAAAAACAGACAGGCTTATTTCCAGACATTTGACAGTGAAAACTTTGGGACATTCTTGACTGCACTGATACATGCTATAGGGCCTGTTACTTGTTGCCGATTGTAGAGCCTTTCATGATCCTAAACCTTAAACTGTGGTTTTAATCATAATTTGTTAATTATTCATTGATCATGTGTGGTCATTCACTGATTTCAGGTTAGGTTACAAAAGACTATTCAGAGTATGTTCATTTACCTTGAAAACAATTAAAAAAATGATGTTAGCATATTAGTCAAGAGTAAAAGATTTGGAGGAGGATCAATAACATTAAAAGCACATGTACATGATGTATAGAATACTGAACAAGCTTCTGTGTAATACCAATTTTATGAAACTTCCGCTCGTTAGATACCAGAACTATTCACGAGTCTATAGTCTATGTTATAGTATGGGAGTTATGATAACCTTAGCACTACGATAGCTTTGTGGAATGGACCCCTGAATTCTTAAGGTAGGACGTTGGATGGTATTAAATAATATATATATAAAATAAAATTTACTGTCAATATGATTTAAATAGTGTGCAACATGATTAGCTCAATATCAACATAAAAGGCTTCTTTTTTCACATTTAGAGCATTTAGTAATACACCTAGGGGGATGGACTGTCCGTCAAACAGTCAAGCCCAGAAGTCAAGAACCTAGTCTGACAAGCTACTGCTCTACCACTGGACAAGACAAAAGATGTGTAGACTGAGATTGTTTGGGATAGTCTAGGGGGCGAGAAGGTTACACGCTTGATAGGATATTGATAGGATATTGATATATATAATAGGTCACATGATAGAAAATTAAGTTAAGGGGCTACCCAGATTTTATTTTTTCTAGACAATAAAAGAAAAGAAAGCAGCCATGTGATACTGGGCAGGCGCTTGTTTCACACTGAACAAATGCTGAACATGAAAATGCTTAAAATTATCTGGAGCACTGATGAATATTATCAGTGAGTGAGTGAGTTTGATTTTACGCCGCTTTTAGCAATACTCCAGCAATATCACGGCAGGGGACACCAGAAATGGGCTTCACACATTGTACCCATGTCGGGAATCGAACCCGGGTCTTCGGCATGACGAGCAAACGCTTTAACCACCAGGCTACCCGACCACCCCGAGTATTATCAGTATCCAAAGACCCACCATTTCATGGGAAAGAATAACACATCAGTCTGTGCACACATGCCCAAAGCTTTTGAGTCCACTAGCCCAAACTTGGCTCTTCAACTGTTGCAGTAGATTTATTTTTTCTAATATGGACTATTATTAGACAACTAAGATGAGCTTACTACCTGTACTAGACCAAACAGAATTTGCAGACTGAAACATGCATTTGCAAATCAAATCATGTCAGCAGTTAATGTTGTTTCATCTAAGACTTGAAAGGTGAATGAAAAAGAAGCAAACATGAATTGATGAAAATGAACAAATGAGTGTGGGACAGAGTTGGGTTCAACGCATCTTTGAACAGTATTTCAGTTGAGTTAAATCATGAACATCGATCCACGCAATTGGGATCGATGACATGCATCAACCAGGTCAGCGAGTCGGACAACCCAATCCCGTTAGTCGCCTTTTACGGCAAGCATGAGCTTGATGAGTTGCTGAAGACAACATCTAAAAAAAGTATTTTTAATATGGCATTGTATGGCGAGCAGTATATTTCTTATTAGACCTATGGTATTTATAACTACAATCCATGCAACATGACGACTTGTATAGGGTCGGTAGGCCTGTTGGTGGTAGATTAGCATCACAATGTCAATCACGGCGTCAGCGGGCAGAAACAATCTATCAATCTCTCCAATTAATGTGTAGCCTGTATGATAGCGTGGGGACCCTGCTTGCGATGAAAGATTTGACGGAAGTATTTCTAAATGCTTCGTTGTTGCGATTAATCAGACAAATTTACGGTGTAGCTGTCAAAATGTTCAATGTCAAACGACCATGCCACTGCAGAGTCTGGGGGAATTGTGATCACAACAACAAATTTAAATCTAGGGTGTAAAGAAGGAAGTTCTGTTACGTGTACCTTGAACATTCTAACAATAATTTTAAATGCGGTAAACGAAGTCGTTGTAAATTCATCACTGCAGGTTCTCTCCCACTCACGTGTGGGCTACCATGACACAGTTCCGCACACAATTTAGCATCCGCACAAAATCTGTCATCAAAAAAGTCATTTATAAAAATAAATATAGACACTGACTAACATAGCGATATTGTAACATGTGGTTTTTTTATAACAGCAATGATATCCGAAAAATGTGCTAATTAAAAAAGCGACATTAAATATGCTTCGGCATGACTCGTTTCTTTCCGCAAGTGTCCATTCGGCTTTTCACGGAATGACTCGAGTGTACACGAATTAGGCCAAATGAAATGGTACTTTCGCGTCTCACGGTCTAGATACAATCATAGACGTACAGAGATATAAAGTCTTTGATAAATTAACACACAGTAGAAGGAAAACTTCTCATTGATTTCCTTGCGATAATGTGGTATCTGTTGCACCAGGAAAAATAAATGATATGACACGCTTTATTTCTTTAAGTAAACATTACCCTGTTTTCGGTGTGAGCATATGCGGTTGGTGGGTACAAATCTGATTGTTTTATCACAGAGAGAGAGAGAGAGAGAGAGAGAGAGAGAGAGAAAGAGAGAGAGAGAGAGAGAGAGAGAGAGAGAGAGAGAGAGAGAGAGAGATGTAACACATGAAAAAACTGCTAAAACCAACCCACTCTTCGTAAACACGAAATATAGCCTCCTAGTGAATGAAACGAAGTGAAACAGCTTCTTTCATTCATATATGTAAATCTGAAATAATCAACTAATCCCTGTTTATATGTCTATATTTTTATTGGTTTTAATGCTGGACCATTACTATTTTAATGATAGTCAGTTAAACTGTTAATATTATTACTCATCATATATATTATGAGGTGAGGTGATATGGGTGTTTAACGTCGCGTTCAAGATTATTGCGACGTGCATGCAAGTGTGTGTGTGTGCGTGTGCGTGCGTGCGTGCGTGCGTGCGTGCGCGCGTGTGTGTGTGTGTGTCTGCTTGTACTAGTCCGGACTAATGCTGATTTATAGTGCTAGCCCACTGAGATACCATGCCGCAGTTTAACATGAATACCCCACTCAGACACAGTATACTGACTGCGAGCCGACCAGTCCTTGTTTTCTCCCTTTAGTGCCGCGGTCCTGGCAGAGTAACAACAAGTACCATCTTTTAACATCTTTTGGTATGACGCGGCTGGGCATGGAACACCGGACTTTCCGCTCTCAGTGCAGGTGCGCTACCACTTGTCCACGGAGGCGGTCATATATATTATGAATACATAACACCTTTTCCAACATATTATAATGTGAAGGAGTCGGAAGTAGCACGGAAACGTTGTTTCATAAAGAATAAAAGCAGTTGCCACCCATAAAGTGTGTCATGCATTCACGTTCTTCCAACTTCTAAATGTCTATCGAATACATTATACATTACTGACAATAACAACAACAACAAGCTCCCACAATGGGATTCATGGGATACGTCTCCGTCTTTGATTATGCAGTTTGACGCACATGAATATGGAATCCTATAAAGACATTGTCGCGTTGTCACAGTGTCACATTGTCGCCCTTACGAAAGCAAGCAAAAAGTATCAAAATTAACCAAGCGTGACATTTTGGCCATTTCTCGCATTGTCTCGTTGTAGCATTGTCGAGCTTTGAATAACATCTTTTATTTTACCAAAGGCCGACAACGCGATATCTTTCAAGGTCAAAATATGTTGCGTTTTCGCGCTTTGGTTAATTTTGACACATTTTGCTTGCTTTCGTAAGGGCGACAATGTGACACTGCGACAACGCGACAATGTTCCTTCTAGGATTCCATATATGAGGGTCCATGGTCTATCATTGATTATACGGAAAACAAAAGCACTGAACTGAAATTCTTCATGGCTTTAGCTGACATAGCATTCTTACGTCTGGTCTTGTTATATAAGTTCCGGTTTCGGAAAACACACGCTAACTTATAAATGGTTAAAACCAGAAAGTCTAATGGTTCAGGTACGGTTTGCATCATATAAGTTTCGGTTTCAGAAAACACATTCCTCCTGCATTTAACCAGAATGTCACAGAAACCCGAAAAATAAAATTTTCCAAAATACCTAATCGGTACTAGAAAAAAATGATACATTCTTAAACACCAAAATGGGAGACTGATGTCTGTGCAGACGAGACATCTATTGAACCGTCTTTGGGGTATCCCCTGAAACAAACCAAATTTGTCCAATTTGTTGTCACAGAAAATAGACATTTAAAAAATAAATAAATAGCAATGAGACTAGTTCATGGCTAGACATATCTGTGCAATTTGAAATTCCCGACATAGGTACAATGTATACAATATATGACGGCGGTCTGTAAATAATCGAGTCTGGACCAGACAATCCAGTGATTGACACCATGAGCATCGAGCCATACAGGGTAGAATAGGTATTCAGCAACCCATGCTTGCCGTTAGAGGCGACTATGCTTGTCGTAAGAGGCGACAAACCGGACCGGATGGTCAGGCTCGCCGACTTGATTGATGCATGTAATCATACCCCAATTGCTTGGATCAATGCTCATGATGTCTATCACTGGATTATTTACAGACCGCCGTCATATAGCTGGAATATTGCTGAGTGCGGCGTTAATCAACAAACAAACAAACACAGGTCATGTTTTGGTCCTATTCATTATCGTTGTCTTGCTTGACAACGTATACGGATCTATACCGAAACTTTGCCTTTACAGTATTTAAGAAGTTGTTATCCATAAATTGTGTCTACTTTGTCATCATTGCTGTATTTATTATTTGTCATTTCTATAAATAAGTCGGATATATTTATCCTGATGTTGTTTCGGTTTAAAGCGTCCTGTGTTCTCTGCTCGTTGGTACTCTCTTTTAGAGTGAGTGAGTTAAACAGTATTTCAGTTACATCACTGCTTGCTGTTGGATGAAATTTCCAAGAGTTACGGGTCCTAGTCGTTTGTTACTATTATTAAGATCCGGGTTAGAATAAGTCTTCAGAAACCCACGGTTGTCGTAAGTGGCGACTATGCTTGTCGTAAGATGCGAGGCGCGGCTCGCGGAGTCGGGTGGTCAGGCACGCTGAATTGGTTGAAGCATGACAACGTATCCCATTTGCGTGAATCGATGCTCATGATATCAATCACTGGACAGACCGCCGCCATATAGGCTCATAGTTGATTAGGAAATATCTGGTTTTCTAGCTGTAGCTGAAAATAATCTCGATACAAAATCCAGCCCTCACCCTGACTATCACTTGGTCGCTCCCCGAGAGGAGACCCAAGCGGATCGGTTGGACAGGCTCGGAGACTTAGTTGATAGCAAGCATCGATCACTGGATTTTCTTTTCCAGACTCGACCAGACTTTACATGCTGACTTAACATGTCGTATAGCTGGGGTATTACCGAGTGTGGCATTAAACAAACAAACAAACAAACAGTATATTTGATGAATAAAACTAGGACGTGCATGTGTCATGTTTAACAAGTGTTTCAGTGCTACAACTTGCAATTCACTGATTGGTCTGCACAAGTGTTTTGATCAGTGTTCAACCCTTATTATATGCCCCACGCTGATTGGTCCAAATAGTTGTACGACATATACACAGATCAGCTGTCTCAAACACAACTTTGCCAAGGAAATAATAACGGGAAGTTACATTGGCGCTGTCATCAGCGATAAGTCTTGAATATGACGCAAGAACACTACGACAACAGTTGAACTATAAACCCACATGCAATCTTGCAGGATACACCACGCAGTGGGATCTGGTCAGTATTGAGGTAGGTCAATGGAACTGGGAATCTATGTTTGTTTTCGCAATCGTAATAGCTTTCAGTCGTAGTACACTTACAGGTTTCGCATGGCAACCTACTTATTTCGGAAATCGAAAATGCGACAGATAGTTTCACCATGCGTTTTTTATGAATTTATGTCAGAGCTACCAGTTACATGATATTTACAGGATATTCTGAGAATCCGTGCATTTCTAACAGTAAATAACAAATTGGTTTTTATAACTGAAAGACACTAACACTGAAACTCACAAGCTAATTTAATTTGGGAAATATGTTCTTTTGAAAAGATCTGCTATCATTAATGTTATCTAAGAATGCTTGAAATGTATGATACAATATATTTATATTTTTTCTGTTAACAGTGTTCTTTACGTGTTCGTCAGGATTACATAGGAACGTGAATGGCGCAACATCTTTAGGCGAGGGATCTACGCATAATGGTATGTGTAAAAGCGTACACTCAGCATGGGCGGATACAGTTTTTTTTTAAAAGGGGGGGTGCACAATTAAGATCTATTTATTGTCTTTGGTGGTAATTTATACCCCCCCCCCCCCCCCCCCCCAACCCCCATCTCTGTATCCGCCCATGCTCAGCTCGCGTATAACTAGTAAACATGTTGAGGCAGTCAAACGCAAGTGGGCGGGGTGTGGGGGTTGGGTGGGGTGTAGGGTTGGGTGGGGTGGTATGGGGGTGTTTTTTCGCATTGGTTTGGGTGTGGTGAGGTTATGGGGTGGGGGTAAGGTGTGTGTGTGTTTGATAGCAGTTTACTATATATACATGGGGATTCAGGGTTAGAATAGATATGGAGTTAGCCACATATATATCATACAGTATTCTGTTAGAAGTGCATTTCAGCCCCCATGCTTGTCACACGAGGCGACCTTATGGATGGGTGGTAGGGCTCGGTGACTTGGTTGATTACATGTCACTCTACCCCAAGGTTAGAGTCGTTGCTAAAAATACCAATCACTGATTGACTCATTATCGTCAAATAGAAGGAATTTTGCTTAGTATGGCGCTAAACAACAAAGAAACAACAAAAAGGAAGGTCACTGACCAATGTACAATATACGTAGTTCGTTGTTTACTACAATACTAACCTTAACATTTTGTCTGTAATTTTCGGGGTTTTGTGGGTCACCTTTACCCTTATAAAGGGGTTGGATAACACATAGACTGACCATTTTTCTGGGAATGTACCAATATCAAGAACCATGTTAAACAGTTTTATATAAATATCTATACAGACATTAATGGTGGTTGAAATATATTCATTAATAATAAAACAAAAACAAAAAAAACCTTAATATGTTGGTTCGTACTATCCGTTTATTTGTAATACCCGATTTCGTATAATCCGTAGTTGAATAAAAATTAATCTCTTGAAATATTTTTTTCGGGGCTGTGTAGATCTGCATAGCCTCCACTAGGAGTTCGTTTGTCAACATAAAGAATATTCTGTCATACAACGGCATGCCAGGCACCATAATGTGGGAGTAGATCCTGAAGTGGAGCAGGGGGTCGACGTTGATCACACTGGGGTTGATCACTCTGATCACATTGGGGAGCAGGGAGTTGACGTCACACTGTGGGACATCAATGTGATCAACGTTGATCTATGTCCATGCTATGCCTCATGTGACTGAGTTATTGTTAATAAGCGACACTAAATGTACACAATCTGATCCACTTGGCATTAACCCCATCTGACCTCCTCACTCATTCTTTCCACGTTAATGCCTCCTTCTCACTAATACCCTGACAAAAAAAAATCTTACGTGACTCAATATTCTATATGTTGATATACTTTTTTAGAAATATGTAAGGAAACAAGGCGAGAAAGTCACGGGATACACTTGTCCTCTTGAACTGACTCACATCTAATTATGACCTATTTCAATCAAATTAATTACTTCCTGCTGAAAAGGAACAAGTGGATTTCCCGTTTCACAGTCCATACAAAGAGTTCTATTATCCTATGTATGTCGAATAAAAATATTCAAACTGAGGGCACTTCACTAGCACATCACAAAATAACGGTTGTTATTCACTCTGTCACTTCTATTTTATCCAGATATCGGTCTGGTGTGTTCGGTTCAGAGTTTCCAACAATCAAGACTTGTCAAACTGTTCGTCATGAATCAAATACGTTTCCGTGTGGGGAATACGTTTCGGTGCCCGTGTATTCACAGGGGAAGTCTATTTTCATTCTATTGTCAATATATCGACATCGTCGTTTTACAAAACCGAAACCTTCGTAGTAGGTAATAATCACTTATAACACGCTGCCTGTAATTGAGCAAATCTGGGTCAGATAGAGGTTGCCGTCATGAGCACGATCCCCGCTAAAGACTACGATCCCGCATTGTAACCATCCGATCCTCATTAGCACGCTCTTATGACAGGAATGGGAACTGGGGGCCTAATGTACCCTACACTGCCCACGCCGGTATCCCAATAAATCTGATTTACAGAGAATATATGGAGCATTTGCGTGTGAGAGATTTCCATATTTTGTTCATACACAAACAACTCCTCGGTTTGTGTCGCGTGAGTTTCTCAAAAGTGGTAAACAGTCGACCTGCATCATTTCCGACACTCCTCCCCCATTACGCTGACACGCCGTGATACAACTAGAATACGCTTCAAAACGGCCTACACCCAACTCACTTAGCCCTTAAATCGTAAATCTTTTCCATCATTTTATTTCTTAAAGTGATCCACCAACGGTGGTACAGTAGCAAATGTTTCCTAACGTGATAATAATATATATTTAACATTTGTATTTTAGGATATCAGAAAACTGCGTACCCGGTATATTTATTTGAGATAAATTTGGATCTGGGTACACAGAAAGCTTCACATTTAAACAGATAGAATCCATCTTCTCTAGCCCGCGACATACACAGTTTGTTTGTCCTTAATTCTCTATCTATACCAAATCAGCGGCCCACTTTGATTTTGGTCACAGGTTCTGTTTCAGAATAATAAACTTGTTTAGATAGGAGAAGACGAAGACGTTTTCAAACGAAATATTTATAATAACACCCTTTTGAACTTTTTTTTGACGTCAGATCTCCAATTTTGATAGAACTAATATTTTAAAAACTTCTCTATCTGAGCAGTTAGCCACTTGCTTAAAACGCTATGTGGGTCATTAAATATATACTTAAGAGAGACCACAGTAATTAAATATTTCTTACCCAGGAGAGGCGGTCGGGTAGCCTAGTGGTTAAAGCGTTTGCTCGTCACGCCGAAGACCCGGGTTCGATCCCCGACATGGGTACAATGTGTGAAGCTCATTTCTGGTGTCCCCCGCCGTGATATTGCTGGAATATTGCTAAAAGCGGCGTAAAACCATACTCACTCTTATCCAGGCCTTTTGTTCATGGGTAGATACAAATTGCAAATAAACTTAAAAGTTGCGATAATTTCGGTGATACAAAGTGCATGCCAGAAATTAACTACCCGTTTACCTGCGTTTATCGATAAGGGTATTCCACCCAGATCTCCATCAACCATGTGGGGTTGCATTTCTAAGACCACTTGCCGAATATTTCCAATTATGTATTTCCGTATGACCACATTTCACAGCCCTATAATAATATTGGTAATATCACTACATTAAAAGCCTTAAGTAAACACGTTTTTGTAAGGCATTTAGAAGTGATGAAGGAGTAATATACTCCGAAACGTTGTTCCTCATAATAAAGAAGTTGACATCCATAACTTCTCTTCCTTAAGTAAATAGTCCAAAGGAATATAATAATTTCTACATTTTGAGAGAAGACAGATCATGGCTTTAGATGCACGCTATGATAAACTTGTAATTGTTGACTTGTAATTTCTTTTTCTACTGAATATAAAACCAAAAAAGGATAGCCTGCAGCTTTTGGACGGCCCGCTCCCTAAGATCAAAACTTAATTTTTTTCCAAGTTTAAGTCAAATTTCCAAATATTTCCATGTGTGCTTTCTCACCAGCTGCTAACACATATATTTCAACTGAATTGGCTTGGTGGCGATCTTTTATAGAAAGACAAGTTAACTTCGAAAGGAAATCAATCTGTGAATAGAAAGTAGGTTAAGATCATATAACGCCATTGGTTGATCGATTGGCAATAACTGGTATAAACATTACTTTATACCGACAGTAAAATCAAGTAATAGTTCACATATACTTCAGCTGCTATATTCCATATGATATCAAACAGTGATGAATTTTGACAAAATTCAACGTACAGACAAAAATGCCATCATTAATCACAGGTCATATTCCACAACCGGTTTAGATTTGTCAATATCAGGGAGACCTAGGGTCACTTGGTAATCATTGCAAATGGCTATTGTCCTGACAAATTTGCACCAAGTAATGAAACTAACAGTTTACCTGTCTGCTAACATGGTTTAATGATCCTGTTTAGTCTATAAATAGTCTGCATATACATTGTAACCCTTTTTACAGATAGATAATATATCAATTTCGCACAGGGCACTATAATTAAAGCGTCTAGATCTCACCTTGAAATAATCTAGCCGTCTTTAAGGGTTTATAGCCAGCACAATCAACTCATATAGAGATGAAAGTACACATAACTTAATTTCAAACTGCTATAAAACTGGGTTCCGCACATTAACTTTGACCTTGAGTGAGGTGTTTGAAGTCATTGCGGTCTATAGATATGTCATGCGCAGGTCATGCTTGATAGTCACCTTGAGGGGTCACACGAAGGGACATAGTCACGTGATGATGACCACAATACAGTCTTCACAGACCAAACAAATACAAAGTAGACAATTTATGGATAACGACTTCTTTGATGTACTATAAGAGCGACGTTCCGGTATCGATCCTCATCCCGTTGTCAATTTTCCGGTGTCCCCCTGCCGTGATGTTGCTGAAATGTTATTATAAGCAGCGTAAAACCTCACTCACTCACTCACTCACTCTACATTTTTAAGCGATACTGAGGATCCCTTGGGGGGGGGGGGCACCACAAATGGGCTTCACACATTGTACCCATGTGGGCAATCGAATCCGGGCCTTCGGCGTGTCGACCTTGCACCACGTTACGTATTTCCTCTGTCTACAAAATTTAGGGAGACAGCCCCTAATCGTCGACAGAAGCGGACGAATTGTACGGCTTGTCGTGGCGTCGGTCAATGCCGCCGCCCCACCAGCAACCACGTCTACAATAAGGAATCGCCGGCCGACTTCCTGGCTTTGTGTAAGTCACAGAGCAGGTCCCCGCTACCATTGGCCACACTGTCCCGGGGTGCGTTCTGCCACGCTATTATCAATCAGTACCCTTTCGACCAGTTCCACCCATCATCAATAAACATGGCAGCTGTCGTCTCAAACTTCATCCCTGAGTTTTGTCTTCCGTCTCCACCCTGAGCTACCATTCGAACGTAAAACCTTGGTTGACTGTAGCCCGGTACTTGTTTTGCACGTGGATGTCTGTATTTTACATAAGAAAATATTTTATGTGCCGAGTGAAAAATTACGTTTCTCTCATCGAGTGACGGGGAAAATAGTGCAACCGTTTCGTGACAGAAAAAGGGTCAGTTGTGCACTTTGTGATGAAAGCAAGAAACTTGTTGTAGGTTACGACATTCCAAATATTTTCAGACATGGGGGCCACTCAAAAATATCCAAAATGGCCGTCGTAGAGGAACGAACTTCTGGAATATCTTATTTGGACATGACCCACAACCTAAATATATAAGGAAAATTGAACAGTTTGGAATGTACTTTACCAACACTACATCTTAAAGTAAATCACAAGTAAGAAGAAATGAAAAGAAATATGCATATCTTTCTTCTTCAGGATATTTTTTAAGACAAGCATAATTAAAGCCAATATACTATACCAATATTGCATACTCATGAGATAGATAACAGAATATTTAATACAAAAGATTGTATTTATTGAAATATGCTTGTACATGGCTAATGTCTTAGTTGTCTAGTGACAATTAAATGTAATTACATTTGCAAAGTGGTGTACTAATCAATCAAATGGGGCACCCACAGTCACACCAACCCTCGGAGTTACAACTACATCTTAGAAGGTCTTGGTTTGGCTTAGGACGTTGTGTAGTACACATACTCGCCCATAGTTTGATACACTACTCATAGATAGCGCAACAATGGTGATCATGCTAAGGCCTTGTTGAAGAGGCATGATTTGTGACGAAAATTCAGAAGACGTTTTCGTTCCATTTGTACATGTACAGTTTGAGAGTGCGTCCAGAGTTGACATTGTTTGGGATGAGTACATCTCTGACAGTCTCAATCCACAGCAAGAAGCACAAGAGGAAAAGAAGTCAGATGTGCAACAATGGGTCGGATTTTGTCAATGATTTGCTTCCATGTTCAGATGAAGAAGATGACACAAGACTCTTTTATTTAATGTTGCCAGACAGAGTCATGGCAGGATTTTGATTCGATCAGTTGATACAGATGTCAATGTTCTGGCCATTGCACTGGAAGACAGAATAGATGTGCCTTACCTCTGGATAGCTTTCGGAACATGCAAACTATTAAGATGTTTGGCTGTTCATGTCCTTGCTAGACTCCATGGGCCAGGGGAAAGTCTATTCACTTCCCGCTTTTCTTGCAATTACAGGCAGTGGCCAGACATCCGTCTTTTTGCGCGAAAAGGCAAAAAATTCAATCAGAGTTAGAAGCACGGCATGTGTATGACAAGGCCACAGAGGCTTTCAATCACATTGGTGGTGTACCGATCAAGCAGGTTTTGATGAACATGATGTCAGTCATTCAGCGTTTTGACGGTTTAATGTATAATCGGGCCAGCATCTCTAGAAGAGTTGATGAGGCACGCAAAGACTCATTCACTGGGGAAGCTTGAACAATTGATTCCGTGCCTCCAACATCAGCTGATTTGTACCAACATGTCAAAAGGGTTGCATTTAAAGCTGGCCACTGTTGGAGTCGAAGTCTGGAGGCGGATACAGACCTTTCCACACCAACTGAGAGAGGATGGGTAATATCAGTAGCCTTTGTGGACTACACTACCACAAGTTTCTAAACCATGCCAATAGCTTCTGAGATGTTAAACAATTTAGATTGACGTCTAGATTGACGAGTTAAATAAGAAATTTACTGAAATGTAACGAAACAAACTACAAGAAGTGACATTTACTCCATAATGACCACATGCCATTACTTTGCCATGTCAATGTGTTACTCACGTAAAATTGAAGTCAACAGTTTGTGTACGAGCTCGACACTAAAAGGGAGGCAATTTGCGGGGAGGTAACTCTTGTGGTTCAATAGTTCCGTCAAAGTGTTATGTTTACTGCAGTGAAATATCCAGCGCTATGTGGCAACGCTCGTCCCCATACACCTAGAGCCACTAGATACATCCTACAGCAGCATAACATCATCACCATCATCACCATCATCACCATGATTTGAATCCCATAGCAAACTTGTTTGTCGAGATACTAAGACGTGTTAATGACCTCCAACCAGGGACGACAACCACAACGGAACTGAGAGCAACCTTTCTACGCATATTGGCCCAGATCCCCATGGCCTTCATCAACCGCCTGGTGCACGCACTCGATGGACTGAAGATGTGTCGCCATCATTAACGCTTGGGGGCATACGGGGTATATGGCTTTGCCCTAAATTGAAAACCCAAGTAAACATTGTCGACACTATGTTCGTGATCTGTGTAAAATCTTGACATTCTCGCCTGTTCCGAATTTTGTTAACAAATAGTGGTAGCCAATTAAAAATGTGTTCAATCTTATTTAATCATTACTATATATAAATAAACTCCCATATATATAAATACACTCCCTTTAGTACCCCATGTTTGCCTCAAGAGTTGGACCGCCTCTGTGGTCTAGTGGTAGAGGGGTTCGATCCCCGGACGTGTCATACCAATAGACATTAAAAGATACCTGTTGTTACCCTGTAGGTAACTGGTCGGCTCGGAGTCGAGTGGATGAGTGGGGCATTCATGTTAAACTGCGGCATGGTATCTCAGTGGGCAAGCACTAAAAACACGGCATTAGTCCGGAGTAATACGCACGCACGCACGCACGCGACTATATAATTGCAATAGTCTTGGACGCGACGCTAAATTCCAATTTACCTCACCTCAACTGAAACAGATCTTGGAAGGTCACACGCTGTTTCTTGAGGGCCATTGTGCCTCGATGGCATTAGTCCGGAGTAATACGCACGCACGCACGCACGCACGCACGCACGCACGCACGCATTTGGCTATATAATTGCAATAGTCTTGGACGCGACGCTAAACTCCACTTTACCTCACCTCACCTCAACAGAAACAGATGTTGGAAGGTCACACTCTGTTTCTTGAGGGTCACTGTGCCTCGATGGCGTGGTCGATGTTCTTCCTCTGTCACTTGTATGTCTGGTCCAGTCCTCGTTATTTAAGCCGTCGTTATTCTGATAGGATATTGCTGCCAGCGGACTTCAGCAACTTTCGCCCACTCTCTCACTCTTGATTCAGATGTTATGAGAACGTTTTTCATTATGTTTTTTTATTATTGGAATAAGAATTTGTCGGCAGCGAGTTTTTGTATCAATGCCTGTGTTTATCATTTGAGTTGTGTTGAACGCAGGTCTTCGACGTTGCAGCTGTTGTAGTCAGCGTCATCGTCCTCACGGGAGTGGTTCTCGTCATCGTCGCTGGGTACGTCAATTAGTTCTCTCCATTCGTAACATTTTGGACCCGTGAAGATTCCGGGGTAGAATAGTTCTTCAGTAACCCATGCTTGCCGTAAAAGGTGACTATGCTTGTCGTAAAAGGCGACTAACGGGATCGGGTGGTCAGGCTCGCTGATTTGGTTGATACATGTCATCGATCCCAATTGCGTGGATCGATGCTCATGATATCAATCACTGGATTGTCTGGTCCAGACTCGATTATTTACAGACCGCCGTCATATAGCTGGAATATTGCTGAGTGCGGCGTTTAACAACAAACCAACCAACCAACCAAATCGTAACATTTTGCTTCTATGTTTGACGATTGTAAGGTCGAACGAGTGGTTGGCCTTACAAGCCTAATCTAGAGTTGTGCCAAGATAATATCCGGCTATTCCAGTAATATAGAGATCCGGGTTCGATTCCACACGTGACATCGTTACAATCTGCAAGTCCAATTTCTTGTTATACTATTCTACGGTGAAAATTATTACGCTAAATGATGTTGGTATTTCATAACCAGGTTTTGATTATTATTTGGTGTATAATGTTAATACCACTCGAAGGCCATCGAGTGACGTGCTAAAGTTGATATTTTATCACCGGCAAGAAAAATCAAATGTTCAAAGTCGTCTAAGGCGCCGCAACTCGCGGTGCAGAGTTGCGTCCCTTGGGTACGCGTATGAGCGAGGGCTCGAATCCCGGTTCACTCCGATTACGTTTCTAGGTTTGTCAGCACCATACCTATGCTCATGGTTTTCACCAAGTGGTAAACATCAGAGACCTGCATCACTCAAGGCTTTCCTCCCACATTAAGCTGACATGCCGTGATATCACTGGAAAAAACTCTAACACACTCACTCACATTGGTTGTATTTTTTTAGACACGTCTTAGTATTTCACCTTTAAATATTTTACAATGTGTCTGTTACGTTTTATTTACCAATTATCTTCTCCAGACTGTGTACGAATAGTTGGTGCTGCCAAGAGAACATTGACCCACCCTCCGGCGAGAGCAGGATCCCCGTCGCAAACGATTACGTGAATATTAATCCTTCGAAAGCTGGGAAAAATACTAATCCTCCGAAAGCTGGGAAAAGTGAGAAAAAGGGGAAAAGTGGGAAAAACAGATTCTCTCGGGCGACTACAACTTGTGACAATACTGACATTAATGACGACCACGTGTATGAAGACGTCACCGCAAGGCGACCAAGCAAAAAGGAGGCTGAGCCATGCCGAGGTTACTTGTCCATGGAGGTGTTGAAGATTAACCCGAATCGCGACTCAAACCGAGCACGCACGTGTGAGAGACCAGTCAAAAGTGTCTACATCAGTGACGTCAATCTGCAGTAGAAGGATACTTTACTGTGGCATGGTCAGCAAACTGACGTTATGTGTGGTGGCGTGTGCTGACAAGAATATGAAACGGAATTAGATAGGAATTATATATTATAGGAATATAGGTGATTTACCTTTGATGGTTAAGTATTGGTAGGGTATATATCAATAAAAGTAAACGTTGATATAGATAATGTTCAAGAAAAAGATAATTGACTTTCACTTCAACAGTTTAAAACGTTCATGTAATTTCCAATTATATATATAATATACTACTCAAAAGAATTAAAGAACACCCGGGTATATATATATATATATATATATATATATATATATATATATATATATATATATATAGTTATCTGTCATGGCATAAGTTGTTTCTGTGTGGTCTACATAGTATTCCCGCTAATTGAAGCGAATCACTTTCTGTTAGATGAACAATGGGGGCGGTCAGGTAGCCTAGTGGTTAAAGCGATCTCTCGTCACGCCGATTCCCCAAAAGCATACAATGTGTGAAGCCCATTTCTGGTGATCCCTGCCGTGATATTGCTGGAATATTGCTAAAAGCGATGTAAAACCATACTCACTCACTAGATGAACAATACTGTACATGAATCAATTTGCATTCCTACAGAAATACTTAATATATTATTGTTGTAATTTACATTCTAACGTGAAGATTCCGGGGTAGAATAGGTCTACAGCGACCAGTACTTGCCGTGATAGGTGACTATGCGTGTCGTAAAAGTCGACTAACGGGATCGGGTGGTCAGGTTCGCTGACTTGGTTGATGCATGTCATCGTATCATATTGCATGGATCGATGCTCATGATGTCAAAGACTGGATTGTCTGGTCCAGACTCGATTATTTACAGACCGCCGTCATATTGCTGGAATATTGCTGAGTGCGGCGTTAAAAAACAAACCCAACCCAACCCAACCCACATTCTAACGTAACATAATCACGGAAGCATAATTATTAACAACAGTATAGAACAAATAAAACCTTGATCACTGATTATCAAGTGTTTATGTATGATACAAATATACCCATGTAGATCCAGGGTAGAATAGGTCTTCAGCAGCCCATGCTTGTCGTAAAAGGCGAATAACGGGATCGAGTAGTCAGGCTCGCTGACATGGTTGATGATTGTCATCATATCCCAATTGCGTAGATCGGTGCTCATGATGTCAACCACCGGATTGTCTGGTCAAGACTCGATTATTTACAGACCGCTGTCATACAGCTGAAATGTTGCTAAGTGAGGCGTTAAACAACAAACAAAGTTCCGTTGCAGTATCCTACGTGGATTCCCGATAATTTGTATGACTATCGTTCAGATAACGTTTAATGAGTTTACATGTAAGACGTTGTTGTTGTTGTTGTTGTTTCTTGTTGTTGTTGTCGATGTCATATGATGTGCCAAAGGCACGAATATATAAATATCCAAGAAAAGCTATCGTCTTAAAACATACTCGATTTTGATTGGTCTATCAGATCATAATTATGAAAAATAGCTGAATTGATGACCATATCGTTCTTTTCTTTTTCGGGCGGTCGAGTAGCCTAGTGGTTAAAGCGTTCGCTCGTCACACCGAAAATCCGGGTTCGATTCTTGACATGGGTAAAATGTGTGAAGCCCATGTCTGGTGTCTCCCGCCGTGATATTACTGGAATATTGCTAAAAGCGGCGTAAAACCATACTCACTCACGCTTTTCTTTTTCACTTGTTTCACAAAAAGGTTTGGGATGTATAATTGTGCACCAATGTTCTACAAGTTAGCTGTCTAGATGCTATCGTGTTCAACGTCCTTATTTTCTGAACGAAAGGGAAGATTAAGTGCAAAAGAAATAAAAGAACCATCACACCGAAAAATGATGTTTTTCTTTGTTATCGAAACCGGCGTACATTAACATTGACACGCAACACACTAATTTCTCTCTTTGATCTAATTCTCCCCGGGAATAGCTGAATATTCATGATATTGCCGATGTGGCGTTAATTCACTCACTCACTTTATCAAACTTAGCATCGTTTCCAAATCTGAACGAAATATATAAAGGTAGATCATGCAACACCAGATCGTATGTTAAAGTGAGTGAGTGAGTGAGTGTTGCTTAACGCCGGTTTTAGCAATATTCCAGTAATATCACGGCGGGGGACCCCAGAAATGGGCTAAACACATTGTACCCATGTCGGGAATCGAAACCGGGTTTTCGGCGTGACGAGCGAACGCTCTAACCACAAGGCTACCCGACCGCCCCTCGTATGTTAAAAACGTTGAAAGTACAGGTAAGAGGCGACTAACGACATTGGGTGGTCAGGCTCGCTGACTTGGTTGATGCATGTCATCGTATCCCATTGCGTGGATCGATGCTTATCATGTCATTCACTGGATTGTCTGGTCCAGACTCGGTTATTTACAGACCACTGTCATATAGCTGGAATATTGCTGGGTGCGGTGTTAAACATCAAACAAACAAAACAAAACACGGTACAGATGAACGTAAACGTTATTTTTGGTATTCTGAAAACAAAAACAGTCAAATAAAACTATTGGTTCTCGTGGAATATAGAAAAGACTTGATTCTCCGGTGGAGAATTCGAACCTGCCACATATTTATAAGGACGTAATTTTATAAGGTGGTTAGTAGCTTTACTGCAAAGTTATTAAGTCTTTGAAAGGCATTCAGAAGTGATACCCATAAGGAAGAGAAGTTATTCCTTCGTAGGCTAAGTTATTATTAATATATAATTAATTCCATCTAAAACCCACTACAAATTGAACTTCAACGAACCAGGAACTCCACCATCCCCGAAGTTCTAACCATGCATACTTACCCAATGAGTGAGTGAGTATGGTTTTACGCCGCTTTTAGCAATGTTCCAGCAATATCACGGCGGGGGACACCAGAATTAGGCTTCACACATTGTACCCATGTCGGGAATCGAACCCGGGTCTTCGGCGTGACGAGCGAACGCTTTAACCACTAGGCTACCCGACCGCCCCCTTACCCAATGATGAAGAGTATACTAATAATATCCAAATAAACGATTTTGGCACCTCTCTGTAGGTATTTCTGAATGGGTGGTTGTTTGTTTGTTTGTTGTTTAACGCCGCACTCACCAATATTCCAACTATATGACGGCGGTCTGTAGATAATCGAGTCTGAACCAGACCAGTGATTGATGTCACGAGCATTGCTCCACGCAATTTGACATATATCAACCAAGTCAGCAAGTCTGACCACCCGATCCCATTAGTCGCCTCTTACGACAAGCACAGTCGCCTTTCAGGGCAAGCATGGCTTGCTGAGACCTATTCTAACCCGGGTCTTCACGGGTTGAATGGATGATTGAGTCGAATTTCAACTTAATGTGTGGGGAAAGGGCGAAGTGATGTCACATTGGTGAAAGTCACGAACTGGGTATTGCGTTGATAAACCAATGATCATTATCAGGTCCAATCAAGTATTCGAACCCATGTTTATAGATAAGGGCACCGGCGACGCAACTCCAGATCTGCGCCTGAAAACACTGGGTCAACCACATTTATAAACACCTGAATATTTCTTGCGTATGTTGATGGGCCTATTATGAGCAAAGAAAGTCCTGATCAGGAAAAGATCAAATGTAACGAAAAACTACTGAATCATACGTACGTTCAATGTATAATGTTGAAAAATATGGCATTGTCAAATCCACATAACGCCAAGTCAGAAAACTACACTCGTTAGCCTCGTCAGGTCCCGGACACACGAAAAGAAAGTATACACGCATGTTTGACAATGGCTAAACATGAAACAAATAAGAAGTGGCTTTTCGGTTGTGGTGTAATTGACACGGGTATCATATACAATTGTGGTGTGAACCTAAAGTTACAGTGTTTCGGCGACTTTTCAGTCGTTTAATGATATGATAAGGTTTGAAATTGTTTGTTGTTCTTTCTTTTCCCCTTTGCTGAAGTTTCTATTCATCAGCGTGTGCATGACTAGCCCCTTAGTTGCCACACGGGGATATTTACAATGTGACTCACACAGGAAAACTCGGTGCAGTGCATTTACACATCCCTGTCAGATGGGAATTTATTATAGGGATGCCTGGCTGGGTTGAGTGTGGCCTGACAGCAGTGTAGAATATCAACGTCTTTATTCAAGGTTATCAGTACGAGTTACACTACTGCCAAGTACTTGACAAGGCGTCTACAGTTCAGGGTGCCGTTTCACAAAGCGATCTTAGCGCTACGACTGTCATAAGCCAGTGTAAAAGTATGGGAGTTACGATCACCTTAGCGCTAAGATTGCTTTGTGGAACGGGGCCCTGGTCAGGTTGTTTTCTTCCTACCTGAACTATGATACAGTAAACTACGGTTATATCGAACCACTATATTTTGTTCGTTATAACCGTAGTTCGTTATATGCACATTTACAGCATCTATACAGCAAACGGACGGGACCAAAACAGTTCGTTATATATCCGTCAGTTCGTTATAAGCGTGTTCGTTATAAACGAAGTTTATTGTATTATGTATATCACTTCTACTCAGTTGTGTAAGGAGTGAGTGAGTTGGATTGAACTCCATATTGAAAAGTATCTAACTGTCACTGCGCGCGAGTTGAATATGGGAGGAACGCAGGTCACAGACGTTTACCACTTTGGTGAAACCCTTGCGCACGGGTATATGATGACAAACCTAGAAACATAATCAGGGCAAACTGATAATCGAACTCACAATCATAGGTTCAAGGCTCATCTAAGGGACTCTACACTTGATGGCGAATTCAGACGCCTCAGACGACTGGATCATAGTTAACTGAACTAAAGGAGCATCATAGTCGTTATGTCCCAAGTGTACCTTTCACACCAAAAATATAATAACGTTGATTACCTACCCTGGGGACCCGTGAAGATCCGGGATAGAATTGGTCTTCAGCAACCAGCACTCAGCAACATTCAACCTATATGAAGGCGGTCTGAAAATAATCGAGTCTGAACCAGACAATCCAGTGAGCATGAAATCATGAGCATCGATCTACGCATTTGGGATACGATGACATGCAGCAACCACGTCGGCAAGCCTGACCACCCAATCCCGTTAGTCGCCTCTTACGACAAGCATAATCGCCTATTACGGCAAGAATGGGTCCGTGAAAACCTATTCCAGCCCGGTTTCTTCACGAAACTCCTGGGGCGGTCGGGTAGCCTGGTGGTTAAAGCGTTCGCCCGTCACGCCGAAGACCCGGGTTCGATTCCCGACATGGGTAAAATGTGTGAAGCCCATTTCTGATGTTCCCCCGCCGTGATATTGCTGGAATATTGCTAAATGCGGCGTAAAACCATACTCACTCACTCACTCACGAGACTCCTCCTTCGTAACATCCGATGTTCCGTATAACCCGACGGACGAATATATTATAAAAACGATAGCGCGTGTTCATATATCAGCTGAATGTTTTCGTTTTGAACACAGCACTGAAGAGGTAAAACAAGTATAGGTAATACATGTCTATGCGGACAGGTCTAACACGTGGCAACAAGTTACCTTATGTGCTATTTCGACACTAGCTAACAATAAAACAAATTGAATATAACACACACCCAGATAATGTTCCACACACGGAAATATTTCATGTTCGGTCGTTTCATTTGAGTTGCACATGACATTGAACGTTTCCATGACTGTATGCCATTATTAAGTAGATTTAGACATAGAAGAGATAAAGAATGATTGACGACTATATTCTGGTAAGTATACATTCACTTAATAATGACTTTCACGCATTGAATAAGAGTTCTCATTATAACTATTTTCTTCGACAAAAGCAAATGTATAGGTTATTAATATTATTTTATTTTTACGTAAAACTATGAGACGTTTGGATTCAGTGTATAAGTACTGGTAAAAATTGTTTTCGCGTCTGACACATACATTATACATACTGTTAGTGAGGCGAGTTATTTTCTCATTGTGAAATATATTTTTATACTGTGAAACCTTGCCCCTTAGATAACATGGTTTTCGCCAGTTTCTTCCTTCATATATGTTGTTATATGCAGTGATAAAGTTCAAGCCTTGCGCTTGATAAGCACAAGGGCCGGCAATATTCAAAAACAAGATCTCCGTCGAAGCTTCTCCACGTTTTCAAAATAGCGTTTCAATTAATATATAGATGGCAAACATTGCACAGATTTATAGTTTGAACAGAGTATAGTTCTGAAATGTGTCCGATTGAGGAAAGAAAGAATACACAAGACTGAAAAACATAAATTTTAACGAAGATATGTGACACTTCAGTGCGGGTGTCTGTACTGGGTTGGGATGAGTCACTTCCTGTTTGGTGGGGAATACCCAGCGTCAGTCAGCAGGTGCGCACACTAGTCTTGTGTACTTCTCTAATATAACTGCATGGTCTTTGCACAATTTGAAATGAAATTTGATATAAAATTAAAAACGGTTAAAAGTAGTGTAGTGAGGCGATGTTTGCAACATGTTTGCATATTTTATACATCCGATTGTGTCATATAGGTCAGACGAGCGACAGTCTTCTTACTACAGAGTGAGAGCGAGAGTGAGTGAGTGGGCAGGCGGATGAATGTGTGAGTGAGAGAGAAAGAGAGAGTGGATCGGTTAGTAAGTGAGTGAGTGGGTGGGTTGATGAGCGAGTGAGTGAGCGGGAGGGTGAATGTGAGAGTGATAGAGAGAGAGTGGATGGGTGAGTGAGAGAGTGGGTGAGTGAGTGAGCGAGCGGGTGGGTGGTTGAGTGAGTGGGTGCGTGAGTGGGTGAGCGGGTGGGTGAATAAGTTGGGGGAGAGGGTGGGTAAATGTGTGAGTGAGAGAGAGTGTGTGAGTTGGTAAGCGAGTAAGTGAGTGAGCGGGCGGGTAAAAGTGTGAGTGAGCGAGTGGGTTGGTGGATGAGTGAGTGAGAGAGCAAGCATGATTTTACGTTGCCTTTAGCATTATTCCACCCATTTCACGGTGGCGCACGCAAAGAATTGGCTTCACGCCTTGAACACATATTGGGAACCAAACCATACTTCTAGCGTGACGAGCGAACGCTTTAACCGTTCCGCTTCCCGAACGTCCCTTTCTTTGTATATAGAGAAGCGCAGAATTATGTTTCTTCTCATAAGGCTTCTACTAATCCAAACCTGGTTGGATTCCGAGAAGACGGGGCGTGTGCTGCCTTTACTTGTTTAGTAGACAGAAATGAGCATCGGGAAGTCCCAATGTATGATCAGCTGGGGTTTTTATCATCCCGACGATGTGGATCATTGCTCTAAATATTTACCACCAGTCCCCCCGGCCGAGGCCGAGGCTGTCCTGATATACATGTGTATTGCTGCCGTAAAACAACATTCACTTATATACTCACTGCTACACTCCGTCAACAGGTGCTCGTACTGCTCATACCCCCCATGGCAAGTCTGAACGTCACTGGTGAGTAGTCACAGGAAAGGCCCGGTCACCGAGAATCATCAATTATTTACCACAGTAATCGGAAATAGATGATAATGATGATGATGATGCTGATGAATAATTCTTTTTATTGTTATTATTAGCATTATTGACCACAGTAATTTGAAGTGATGATGATGAATTATTATTATTATTATTATTGTTGTTGTTGTTGTTGTTGACTGTTATTATATATTTATTATTACACTCTGTGTATATGCTAGGTAAAGGACAAGGACAGGAGTGTCGACAAACATCGGAGTGTGTTAGCCATGCCGAGTGTTGGGTCAACGTCTGTCAGTGCAACATCAAGTACTACCCCTGGAAAGGACAGTGTGAACAACGTAAGTACACATATACGCATTCCCCAGTCAGTACAATCAAAGTAGCACACGTATACATAAGTCCCGTCCCTTAAACCATGGAGCAAGTCTATGTTAAAGGAAAGATATGAATATGGTTTTACACCGCTCTTAGGTATATTATCATGGTGACATTCAACAATTGACCTCTGTGGGGAATCGAACATGGTTCTTTTGTGTGACGATCGAGCGAACGCTTTAACCACCCTGCTTAACTACCACCCTCCCAGCAGTAGGTCACGGTAGTCGTTTTGTAAAAGCTTTTCCCCGTATTTATTTATAAGCGATGCTTGTATTCATATGGTATTGAAACTTTCCTTTCGTTTACGCTGCACACCGAAAATGGACAATGGATTCAAACAAGTGCGGTGACAAGTCTGTCGCTTAAATAATTTGTGGGAGATGTCAGTTTTGATGTCCTTGGTGAGTTTGTGTGTGAGACGGCGGCCCACTAAAAGTGACATTATTTGCTTTTTCAAGTTTTTGTTCTTCATACCGATCTGCATCGTCATTAAACCGACACGACGACCTTGCTCATACAAACACTGCCCTACCATGCAGGTGGAGAAGACTCATTTTATAGCCAAACACATCTCTCAAACGGCATTAGTTTCCGGGGCCAATAGGTCACAGCACCTCATGGTTGTGTTAAGGCCGCCAGTATTACTTTGCGTGTTTTCCCATCTGTAACCGATATCCTATATTAATTATACTAAATGAATTTAAGTGTTTTACTCAATGAAGGGGGCAAAACCCAAAAGTTTCATATAATAAAGAATTTGCTATCTATAAGATTCATGAAGTTTTAATAATACCAATTCGCTCGCGTAAATATATATCACCCCACTCTGGGTAGGAAAGTGAGCGAATTTCCAGTTTCGTAAGGAAATTTCTCGGCGAAGTTGAACTGTAGGATATTTAAAAAAAGGGAAATAAAAACTTTGAAATATTCTGTATTCGCAACCAAAGGGATTTATTTTACTGTCATATTTTTCTTCCTAGCTATAGCTTCTCTGATCACAGCATGGGGATCACAACCATACACAATAATGTGGACAGCCCACAAAGTCGTCTAAACTAAGGATCATGTGGTTATTAATACAATAGTGAGGGAGTTGGGTTTAACGCCGCTTTTAACTGTTACAGTATTCCAGTTATATCGCGGCATGTCAGCTCAATGTGGGAGGAAAGCCCGAAGTGATGCAGATCTCAGACGTTTACCACATCGGTGAAACCCACGAGCACGGGTATGGGGCTGACAAACCTAGAAACATAATTGGTGCGAACCGGGATTCGAGCCCACAATCAAAGCTTTCTGGCGTGCCCAAGGGACGCAACTCTGCACAGCGAACAGCGGCGCCTTAGACGGCTGGACCACCCGTGCCCCCTATTAATACAATAGTTGACCGAAGGGCGTGGAATGTCGATCGTACTTTTGACAACTGATTTGCTTGGCCAAGACTTTATATTCAGTTTTATCACAACGTGTCAACTTGGTGTGGGATGGAAGCCCGAAATAATGTAGGTCAAGGACGTTTGGTGAAACTCTTGAGCACGGGTATGGTTCTGGCAAACCTAGAAACATAATCGAGGCGAACCGGGATTCGAACCCACGATCATAGGTTTCTTGCGTGTCCAAGGGACGCAACTCTGATCAACGAATTGCGGCGCCTCAGACGACTGGGATACCCGTATCAAATACGTCACAGTTGAATGACCATTTCTTGTTTGTTTCAGTGTTAGCAAACATCACTCTTGGATGTATACATTCTTTTACCCGGCAATTGAGCTGGCAGATTACTCACTGCCGTGCAAAGGACCATTCATTCACACATTCTCTACTCCATTGCTAACAAACAGGATCGATTGGTCAGACTCGTTGAATGGTTGATAAATGTCATTGTATCCTAATTGCATGGATCGATGCTCATGATGTCTATCACTCGATTGTCTGGTCCAGACTCGATTATTTACAGACCGCCGTCATATAGCTGGAACATTGGTGAGTGCGGCGTTAAACAACAATAAAACAAAACAAACAAAATGAAGTATACACCAGTATTATAATATGTTTGTCTTCCCCAACCAAAGACGTAAGTGCAGAACCAAAAACAAAACATGTGAATTCGAAACAAGTCGATCCTGAAAAGTACTGTATACGTTTGTATGAAAGAATTACATTTCAGATGTAATTTCGAGATGTTTCAGGTCACCGCCCCAGCATGCCGTGTTCCAGCGATATGGAGTGCGTGGACGGCGCCATCTGCCGCACCAACTACTGCCAGTGCGACGACACCCACTACCACGCCAATACATATAACAAGCGTTGCATGGCGCGTGAGTACTTCTGTAACACCCACCTAAAGTCTATTATAACTACGGGCGGTCGGGTAGCCTAGTGGTTAAAGCGTTCGCTCGTCACGCCGAAGACCCGGGTTCGATTCCCGACATGGGTACAATGTGTGAAGCCCATTTCTGGTGTCCCCCGCCGTGATATTGCTGGAATATTGCTAAAAGCGGCGTAAAACCAAACTCACTCACTCACTATTATAACTACCGTCACATACTATATATAAACTGGCGAGCAAAGGAAACTGTAGGCCATGTCATACAGAGAAACACAGATTATACACGAAATAATGTTGTTTCCTATAACTACTGTTGATTTATATCGTAACATATGTGACATGCATGATCATCAGCATAGATTACTTGCCCCTATTATCAATTACAAGCATATAAACTAAGGGGCAAAGGAATCTATAACTCTCGGCTGATCTTATCATTTGTATGATGTTCAATTGAAAATTTCTTAAAGTTAGCGATATTATATATGAACTTTACTGGCGCTTGGCCAGGACTCAAGGAATATTTCGACGGGGTTATATTTTTGAAAACAGGTATTGATAAAATAGCATAAAATAGCATAATACACAACAACCGATGAGTATCTTAGACATCTTATTTTTGAACATCACTACATTTGCTTTTTTTCGGGACATATTTCCATTTCAAACATGGAAAGGGTCATGTGGTTGTAAATGCATTGCTTTCCGGTATCTTCATTGAACCAATATATTTTTACACAAAATTACCTTTACAAACTGTTGCAGGAATGAGTGATGGTTAAATACACAATCCATTTAACAACAGTTCTTTCAATTTTCGATTACATTAAAATCAAACTCGGTATATGCTTTCTGTTGTCCCTCAGTGCGTTAGTCAAGCTATTCTTTAAGTGGGGTGAAACTTCCGATCAAACTATCCATGAATTATACTTGTCCGTGACGAAATTACATATATCGAAATTAAATATTCGACAGTGATATCACGTCTGACTATCGATAGCTTTCATAGAGATAACAAAAAGCAACAATATAATTATACAGTTTTACTTTTAAGTCCGTTTGAACTAACATGTGTACATGTGTAGCATTCAGAATATGTGCAAGGTTTATTGGAGAGCGAAGTAAAACACACCCTACTTACATGCGTTTGAATGAGAATCCACTAAACTCCCATGAAATCTAAGAAATGGAGGGCCTGTTAACTTAGTGTTAAGACATGCCGTACTGCCAATTATAGATCCAGGGAATCACTAATGACGGATGGTAAACTTTCACTTATATTGCAACAGTAGTATCACCATCGCAATAAAATTGCAATAGTTAAATATCGTTAATAGTCACCTTTATTTGTCAATGTTATGGGTAATATGCTCATATGGTGAATATTCTCGATTACCCCAATGTTATATTGATCTCCTTTCTATTGTGATAAATATCCTGGTCCCATTCGTCATAACAGGGTCATTTTGAAACATTCAACTCTAAATGTCACCTCAACCACGAACAAGAGAGTGTGTGAAACGACAAAAAGACAGTCTGAGATGATGGCTTCACATCCTAAACAAAGCTAGGTAAGAGAATGGGTCAGGGTATTTACCATAATTTAATGGAGATATGAAACACTGGACACTCGAGGATATCCCTTACAGTGAGTCAGCTGTTCCCCCGAAACATACGGACGGAGAAGACTACCTCGACAACGGCTACGGTAGCTTGGGACGCCCCAGAACTACAGCCTGTGTCATCAACTCTGAAATATTACGTCTCGTATAACGGCAAGAAGAGAGTGTTTATCAAATCGCTCGAAGTCCTCAACTTGACTGATTTGACACCTGGAACGGCTTTCAACGTCACTGTCAGTGTCGCCGTAGATGAGTACAACATTATTAAGATAGCACCATCAAAAACAGCCACCATGCGAACACGTAAGAAGTAATTTCCATTTCCATTAATTTGTGGTATTTTGATATGAGTCTGTAATAAATAATTACTATCAACTTAAATGTCTTATAAATATTATTTAACTGCTTATCTATCACCGGGATGTCTGTGAGAGACCTTAAGAGACAAAGTCAGGGCGAGGTACACTATGAGCGTTTGGCTTATCGCCGCTTTGAGAAGTATGTATATTTCAGCTGTATCAGAGCGTGTCAGCTTGATGTGTGAGGTACGCCCGAGTGACGCAGGTCCTATATGGGTATGGTATGCAAGCCTAGAAACATAACCGAGCCGAACGGGGATTCAAACTCACATCCATACGTTTCTGGTACGCCAAAGGCACGCAAATCAGAAAACACCAGAAAACTCGACACCAAGGAGTTTGCCTTCCAAATTGTGCCACTGAATTGGCAGACTTGACGATCAAAAGCTTTAAGCCTACTTGGATATTTGCATGAGGATACCGACTATGAAGCATTCTATGGTGAGGCGACTCACTTCACATCCACACAAGGGGGCACTGGTGGCCCAGTCGTCCCAGGAGTCACAATTCGTTGTGCAGAGTTGCGTCCCTTGGGCACTCCAGAAACCTATGGCCGTTGGTTCGAATCACGGTTTGCGGCGACTATGTTTCTAGGTTTGTCACCACCATATCCCTGCTCATGGATTTCACCAAAGTGCTAAACGTCTGAGACCCGCATCACCCGCATCATTTCAGCCATATGTATAGTAAGTGAGTTGAAATACCTCACATCTGTCATTGGGAAAGTAAACATAAAATGTCAACACCAGAGAATACCCAGTCTCGATTATGCTACGAAGCAGATTCCAGCGATGAAAATCATATGAATGGATCACTGAAAACCAGTGATGAAACCGAAAAGGGTAAGCATATCCTGTGCTACCGGTTCACCAGTCACACACGCAATTTGCATAAAGAGGTAAGTATTTGTTTCATGCCTGACGCCGCACAGAAGTACACCTGCCATGCATCGGCGGCCGCCAAACAAACCAGACAAACCAGATAATCATGTGATTGATAGGAATTTATACCCAAGAAGGAGCATATTTGTCACAAAGAACTAAGAAGTGCACGTGTTGTTTGACATCATTAATCTGTACTCTATTTTATCTCCAGTGCCTTCAGTGCCATCCAATTTACGCCATGACGCGGAGTTGGCGTTCTTGCTCGTCTATTGGTCCGTTCAGGGACACGCTGACTCCTTCAATGGGTCACTGTGGTCCAGATCCTCCACAGAGAGATTCACCACGCCATACACAAGCTATATGTTCCTCCGGCCAAATACAACCTCAAGGCAGATTCTCTGTGTGACGGCCAGGAGCGGGGACCTCTATAGCCAGATGGCCTGCTATACATTTCATATGACCCTCTCTAATGGTGAGTTTTGTAATGGAGACTGAAATATTGTATGTGAGCCCTTTTTCATAGTATTGCTTAGTGCTTCATGTATTCAATGGGAGTCGGTTGAAATATTTGTTCTGCCAGTACTTCATAACACAATAATGCATGTCCAGTGAGAAGGGGCGGTCGGGTAGCCTAGTGGTTAAAGCGTTCGCTCGTCACGCCGAAGACCCGGGTTCGATTCCCGAAAAGGGTACAATGTGTGAAGCCCATTTCTGGTGACCCCCGCCGTGATATTGCTGGAATACTGCTAAAAGCGGCGTAAAACCATACTCACTCACTCCAGTGAGAAATTTTTGTTGTTTTTAAAAGCTGAGCCCAACATATTTTACAAGCATTTTCTGGAGCCAAATTTTTAGAAAAAATAAAAATCACAGAAAACATCAGAATATCCAATGGTCGTTATAACACATGTGTATATCCAGGTATGGGGAACACCACGCAGTCACGATCGTCAGTGCCAACATGGTCGCTCATCTTGGCAGTGTTGTTGACCTGCTCCATTACCTCTGCTGCTCTCCTGATTGGCTTTCGGTAAGGATCATATATACAGGGACAACGTTACACCTGACGTATATAACCAGTTATACTCAGGGTTTCCATTGAGATCTTCTGATTAACAAATTACCGGATTTTCAAATCATGGATATAGAGCCTCTGAGTAGGCCCGGCGCACTGTGGACATATGTAGGCTTTCCAAATAGTGTTCGTACTTACGTGGTTTTAACTGTATTCACCATTTGCAAACGTAGAGATGTGATATGAACGCTTGCTATTACTGTTTGCCTTACAATAGTAATAAGAAGTCCTTAACTATTTCAAACGGAAGCGTTTTGTGGAATAATATTCTCTGCCTTTACGTATTTTATTATATACTTGTCAAAAAAGGTTAAGGACCACCTGATTCTTTCACATTACTTTTGTTAATCTGTCATTCCATGGAGCATTACTATTCTTAACAATAATAATATGAAAGAATCGGGTAGTCCTCAACTTCTGTTGTGTAGTAAATACAGCTCATTACTTTTAGGTGTCTATATAATTATCTTTCCGCGGTTTCACGATGCACAAACTTGGGCTATATTGTCAAGCATTGTGAGAACAATAATGCAGTGAACGATCATATTTCTGTTTACAATATTTTGGTATCATCGCCAGGTTCCGAAAAAGACAGTGTCGCTGTGTCACTGGGAAGGGAGAAAACGTGTACGACATGATCCTGTTCCCGAGATCAAGCGTGAGAGGAGGCTCAAGTTGTGACGGAGATTTCGAAGGCGCGGCGACGTATGTGAACCACTCTGCCGTGACTGATGCAGCCAGGACAGAGGGGATTGTGTTCGAGAACGACACGGAGACTGACGATAGTGTGGGGTGTGTGTACGATCAACCCAGATGTATATAGATCTGAAAAGTGACTGCCGAAAGTGAGGTTGAGTGGGGTTTAACGTCGCGTTAAAGATTATTGCACACAAAATGAAAGTAAAATCTGGAGTCCTTAGATCATTCTTAAAAAGTATTCTGTTACAAAATGTAAAACATACCTAAACAAGAGCGTAATTTGTCCTTCCACTGACAGTTTGTAATAAGTGGATAATACAATTTAGAACCACTGATAATCGATTAACTATAGAAAATACGAAACATATTAAATATGCATTCTTTATAATGTTTCATTAGGCGCGGAAATGCATAGCCTATTGCTTTGTCCGACGCCTAATAGTTCAAGAAACCAGACTCTTCCGGCTTGATATACAACGATAACCGCCTGTTAAGGTTTCTCCGATCTTAAACAATTTTCACAAAATTTCACTACTGGTGAAACTGTCCAATGTTACAAAATTGTGTGTGCTCCATCAGTAAGCTATGATTTGTTATGTCAAGTTGCTGTCATGTGATATTTCTGAACCACGCTTGTGATTATGCCAATAAACTTCTGAATGTGAATCGTGGCCTGGTGACCAGCTGCGAATGGATGTAATCAGCGTAAGGCAAGATGAATGAATGAATGAATGAATGAATGAATGAATGAATGCATTTGTTTTACGCAGCAGCCAGTAATGATCCATATTAAAAATCATTTGAGGTCACTAAAATTCTTTAACATAAATTTATATTGTGATATGATTATATACAAAATCAACTGTCAAAAATATTCTTGAAAGCGTCGAGAGCGCTGTTGGCAGCGAATGAATACACGCTGGTCAAGTAACAAAAATGGGGCTTTGCGAAACGGAGTCTCTCGATTGAAGAGTTAAATGAGAAATTTACGGTTTATACAAAACTTTTACAAGAGAATAACAAACAGACAGACGGGATATTAGCTTCATAAATGGCCACTATTTTGCTTTGCCAGTGTGGAACTAATATAAAAAGGATTAGTCAAACGGTTTGTTTACGGTCCAGAAACCTATGATAAAGGGAGACAATTTGCAGGTAGGCAGCTCTTGTATGGCAATAGTTCCGTCAAAGTGTCATGTTCACACCAGTGATATCAAGTGTCATGCTCACTGCAGTGAAATATCAAGAGTTATGTTCTGTGCACTTTAGAAAACGCAGTTTTTTACACAGAAGTAATGTAGTGGTTGAAATAAGAATAATTGTTTCGTTCGCCCCAACCAATCTATGTTGTCTCATCACAATGGAGTCTGAGATCAGTAAACAAGGCAACACCAAACTATATGTAGTTATGCTTTGGCCACAGTTTAACGTGGTTTTTTTCCCAAATTCGGTCGCACCCACCCTCTGGCAGACATTGTAATCTACTTTCACGCTCTGATGCCGATATATAACGTACAGCACAGAGCGAGGGCTGTTAGCAGGAATTAATCAATAGTAGGAGTGTATGATTATATAAGGAACGATTAGCGTTACGTGTGCGTGGTATACTGATCATGCTGATTGCAACGAAATCGTGGCTTTGAATGGACGCGGTTTGACGCTGCTTTTGCCATGTAGAAATATCACAGCAGGGACAGCAAGCATGAGGTGCTATGTACAGAGTGTAGCCATGCGATATGATGTGTGTTTGTTTGTTGTTTAACACCGCACATGCCTTATAAAAATGATTTAACAATTACGTGAGAAAGACTAAAAACAAATTCAAACAAATGGCGAAAGAAGATCCAAGACAATTTTGGAAATGCTTTAAAAAAATCAAGATTTTGACAAAAATATATCAATTGACCAACTTTATGGGGTTTTTTAAAAATGAAATGAGTGAACACCAATTACAGATTTCAAATGTGATAATGAAGAACTTAACAGGCAATTCACTGTTGCAGAAATATTATTGGCAATCAATTCACTTATAAAGAGAAAAAGTGTTGGAATTGATAAGATAGAAACGAGTATCTGATATCGAGTAAAGACGTAATGATCAATGTTTATCACGAACTGTTTAATTCAGTTCTTGAAAGTGGAACATTTCCGAAATGATGGTTGGTTGGTATGACCAGACCTATCTATAAAAAGCAAGGTGACCCCTCCAAACCTGAAAATTATCGCCCAATTACCTTATTATCTTGTCTTGGTAAATTGATCACCGCAGTTTTGAACATTCGCTTCACATCTTTTACAAATGATAATTATATTACTTCAGAAATACAAGCTGGCTTCAGGAAAGGTTACAGTACTGTTGACCACTTTTTTGTAGTCTGTGTTTTAATAGATTTATTAAGGGCTTGTTAAAATAAATTGTACTGTGCATTTGTGGATTTCCAAAAGGCCTTTGACAACATTTGGCGGATCGGATTATGGCAAAAGCTCTTATCATATGGTATCTCTGGACGAATATTAATCTTGTTCACAATATGTATTCAAATATAAAATCTTGTGTCGTTCATGATGAAGATAGATCAGGATATTTTCTCGTAACAAGGGAGTTCGGCAGGGTGAAAATTTGTCACCATTACTGTTTGCAATATATTCAAATGATGTTGAAACCTTTTCGAGAGCCCACAGCTGTAAAGGTGTGTCCCTTGAAACATATTTTGGGGTTTAGTACGCAGACGATACTGTAATATTTTCGGAAAACTCTGTTGACTTACAAAATAGTCTAAACGTCTTCGTAAAATACTGTGAAGAATGGAAACTGAAGGTTAATCTAAAAAGTAATCTTTGGTTCTGGCACAAGAAGGTAAACTAGACTTTAAATTTGGAAATAAAATAATCGAAATAACAGACTGTTATAAAAAATATATACATACTTAGGAATTGCTTTTAATAAAAACAGATCATTTACACAAGCCATCAAAAGGTTAAGAGAACAATCTTTAAATGCCTCGTTTGCTTTATTATCCAAAGCCAGAAATGTATGTCTCCCAACCACTGATCATGGTATATGTTATGTTTGATCATTGTATAATAAATATATTCAACTCTCTTATTTGTCTTTATCTTATCCTGCATGGGCTTGTCTGCTGTGTTTCTGAAGGAGACAACCTATTACCCATCGCTGGTGCAAAACATTGTTTTGATAACACCGTAGACGAAAGTGAGGCCCCCTCTATGGTGTTCACTGCACACATGCGCTTGTGATAAAGTCAGACATGAACGTCAATGCCGGGATTGAGAATGTACACTACGTCCGGACGTCATCAATACATTGTCATACAGAAGGTGTAATGGGGAAATTAATATTCTGTACATTTGTAGTTGTCACAAGGAAAACAGAAAAATACTCACAGGCTGTGTATGATGAAATCGCGCCTGTCGTCTGCTACAACTAGGGGAGGCAACTCTCGATTGCATACCACTACATTATACAAAAATAACGTAAGCATATCATCAGGTCATGTACGTTGGGTTCAGGTTGCGGGCAAAGGGTCGAATTACATTCTTTGGCCATGCAGCATTTACATACAGCCATGGGGGAAAGATTCTTTGTAACAAGGTAAATGTATTGTCAACTCCTTCGCCATTAGGCTATGACATGTTCGACCACAGGGCCACGGATAGCCATACTATACTGACTGTACTGATTACATTAAAAAAAGCTCTTTTTTAATGTAATCAGTACAGTCAGTATAGTATGGCTATCCGTTGCCCTGTGTGTTCGACCATCCCCTAAACTGTATATTCTACCTAACAAAAATTGTGATCACACACATTAATAGATATTAAATTAATATTGAGTATAATAATGCTGATGACATTGAATATATGACATATATCACTGAAGAGACTGGTTAGTCGTTTGGAATAAAATAAAGTCACACACAAAACACGTTACGTGATGACATGTCTGGGGTTAGGGGGTCAAAATGAAACTTAAGACACTCAAAGACTTACTTAAGACTCGTTTTGATATATTTGACATTAAAAGACACGAGTGTGATTTCTATTTAGCATCCAACTTCATCCAATTTTTCAGTATTTGTAAACACTAGTAACAAGTGTCTTGAGTGTAGAAAGTACAGCTAACCAGCTTTAGTTGCAGAGTTTAGTGATGTCATTTGATTGTGACGTCACGGTTACCGATGACGTAACAATTGCCTGCAATACAATATGATTTAATTTTATTGCAGCCATATCCCCATGGTGATATCGTTTGTTATTACGTTTACATTTATTTATTATAGCTGTATTTTCATTGGTTAAGAAAGGGCCACATGACCTTCTTTAAAACACGAGACCCACCCTGCCGTGCAGCGATCAAAAGTGGTAATGCACTGCGTGAGTAAGCCAGTGGACTCAAAGAAGAGAAATATTTTCGGCCAATCAGAGACAGGGTAACATAAAGCTTGTTGTGCATCATCTCGTGTGACATCTGGTTACATTATTGTTGAACTCGAAATATTCTTGTTTGTTTTTTTAAAATTATGTAATATAACAATTATTGACCACAATTCGGGCAATATCATTTTTTATACAACATACTATTGTAATCATGAATGAACAATATTTGCTGCATATCACCCAAGCGATATCACCTGTGGGGGCCAGTTTAGGGGGATAAAAATAGAATGTCTTTCGATATCAAATATATCAATACGAGTCTTAAACGTTTGTCATTCGGGTGAGATTCTATTTATCACCAGAATCGGACCATTCTATGAATTTCTATATTTCAAAAACACAGAATTACCGGGCATCTTAAAAAAAGGCAGTCGTTTTAGATTTTCAGAATTTCGTTTTTTTCATAGTATATACACATCAATGGAAATAGTTGTTAACTGTGTCATGCTTGCATCATGATTTGAACAATTCATCTACATTTTGTGCTATATCAACTCTAATATGGATGCATTAACGTAAAACACGATGTGCACACTGTGCAACTTGACAACAAAGCAACACAAGCCCCGCCCATATCTGTCAATCAGTTAACAGTATTCTGTTAATTAGTGGGCGTTAAGAAATTTTGGAAAAATAAAAGTAAAATAAATCGGTTAGCCAATCAAATGCCGCGGAATCTCCATCAATTTATTTATGGGGACATAATTGTTTTGCTTGGTTAGCTATTCAAATACCACGGGATCACTTTCAGCTTAATTGTAAATAATTAAAGGGACATTACTCCATCCCCGTGATGCCTTGTGTGATGAACTGGGTTTCATTGTTGGCAGAAAAAGAACGCGAGGAGGGAATGGGCTTTATATTGGTTTTTACTTCACCCTGTCGTGTTTATTCACTGCGCTAACACATTTCCCCCAACGCACGTGCATTTGTATCCGGTAGCAATGCAACAGATTGACACATCAAATACAAGCAACAGCTGTCGGTCGTGCGTTACCAGACAAATTATTCTGAATAATTTATTATAAATACAAGGCAACTTTTACTCAGTCTGACTCGACAACCTGTAATTGTCTTCAAGAATATGAAACATATTTCAGCACAGTTTGCCACGTTTGTGTGAAGGGTCCCATGTCGTTCAAGTTTTTAAAATCGACTTTCAGTTTTGTATACGACCCCTCTGCTAGCTGCAATTAAGGTAACAGGCTCGCGTTCGGTGTGTTTGCAATCAGGACATTTAAGGTGTTACACCACGTGCATGGTGACGATGGAGACGGAGGGACGTCATGGCAGCTGTACACGATGCTGTGCTCGGAAACTAAAATTTAGAATAAATGCTGTCATGAGCTTTTGATATAACGTACACGTATAGAAAGCGTAAACGCGAAGCTATAGGAGATACATGGTATGAGGATAACTTATTAGAAACTGTAGAATATTCTTAGTCTTGCATTTGTACGTAACATGTATGGAAAACGTCGGCGTCTACACGAAAGTATGATATTAAGATTTTTGTATATCATGTATAACACACGCGGGTAGACGGCGTCTAACGAGAAACTAAGATATTAACACTCCAGTATACCATGACACAAGCATGGGAAGAAGGCGTCTACGCGAAACTAAGATATTAACACTCCAGTTTACCATGACACAAGCATGGGAAGAAGGCGTCTACGCGAAACTAAGATATTAACACTCCAGTATTCCATAACACAATCATGGGAAGAAGGCGTCTACGCGAAACTAAGATATTAACACTCCAGTTTACCATAACACAAGCATGGGAAGAAGGCGAAACTAAGATATTAACACTCCAGTATACCATGACACAAGCATGGGAAGAAGGCGTCTAGGCGAAACTAAGATATTAACACTCCAGTATACAATGACACAAGCAGGGGAAGAAGGCGTCTAGGCGAAACTAAGATATTAACACTCCAGTATACCATGACACAAGCATGGGAAGAAGACGTCTAGGCGAAACTAAGATATTAACACTCCAGTATACCATGACACAAGCATGGGTAGAAGGCGTCTAGGCGAAACTAAGATATTAACACTCCAGTATACCATGACACAAGCATGGGAAGAAGGCGTCTAGGCGAAACTAAGATATTAACACTCCAGTATACCATGACACAATCATGGGAAGAAGACGTCTACGCGAAACTAAGATATTAACACTCCAGTATACCATGACACAAGCATGGGTAGAAGGCGTCTAGGCGAAACTAAGATATTAACACTCCAGTATACCATGACACAAGCATGGGAAGAAGGCGTCTAGGCGAAACTAAGATATTAACACTCCAGTATACCATGACACAATCATGGGAAGAAGACGTCTACGCGAAACTAAGATATTAACACTCCAGTATACCATGACACAAGCATGGGTAGAAGGCGTCTACATGAAACTAAGTCATTTACATGCTAGCATTGCATGAAACAAGCATGAATAGAACGCATCAACATCAAAAAAAGATATTAACATTCAGTTTACCATGAAACAAACATGGGTAGAAGGCGTCAACATGAAACTAAGCTTTTCTTCGGAATATATACCGGGAGTTCTTTGCAAATGAATATTTCTCTTCAACAAGGTTGAGCTGTCACTTTCCGTTATGAAATGCACATAAAGTTATGATATAGGATGTCAGGGTCGGGCGTATCTCACATATTTGACAATATATTTAACTAGTGAGTGAGTGAGTATGGTTTTACGCCGCTTTTAGCAATATTCCAGCAATATCACGGCGGGGGACACCAGAAATGGGCTTCACACATTGTACCCATGTTGGGAATCGAGCCCGGGTCTTCGGCGTGACGAGCGAACGCTTTAACCACTAGGCTACCCGACCGCCCATATATATTTAACTAAAACGTTCTTATTATTTCCATGTTTACATTTGACGATTTTACAACTAAAATGTGATCTGCGAATGTCAATTCAATGCATTCATTATGGGGGTGTTCAACTACGAAATTATATTTTATATAGATTCATCAACAATTCATCAATACATTACTTCTAACAATTTGAAATGATTCTGCCAACATAAAATACTACCCATCGACTCTTTTCGCAAGGTGCATTTTCGCAATAAATTGGCCACCCACATTCGTTTCTATGATAGCATAATGTTTGAATTGAAAAAGTCAATATTAACGCCTGACGCCGGAACTGACCGACACAGCTTGTCGTGCTCAGTGGGAACAGCCCATACACGCGATGAACAGAGAATTCGAACAATAGGCTCCCGTTGTTAGTAAAGCGCCGGGACTGGCTACAGATGCTTGTTTAGCAATCTCTCATTAATATTATTTATCTTTTCAGATTTTTATATCCGGGAACCCTTTTACGAAAAGGGCAATAGTTCAAAGAACAAATGTTTTAATGATGAAGTGTTGGTTTGGATTAATTTATTCCGTGTTTATTTAAAGACGTCTGTTGAAGTTATTATTAAAAGCTTAAAGGTAAGACAATTCGACATTTTGAAAGCAGTTTTTCCAGAAAAAATGGAAGAAAATAAGTTTACAATGACACAAAATGATTGTGGTCGGGACATGCTCGATGTCTTGTGTGTGTAATCTTCGTAATAATAAAGCAGGTGAGTACTGTTTGTATACTGGATAGGGAAA